ACCCAGCGGCTTCACATAAATGTTGAACAGAAGGGGCGAGAGGACCGACCCCTGAGGCACCCCACAAACAAGGCGCCTCGGGGTTGATCTCTGCCCCCCTGCCAACACCGACTGTGACCGGTCGGAGAGATAGGAGGAGAACCACCGCAGAACGGTGCCCCCCACTCCCAACCCCTCCAACCGGCGCAGCAGGATACCATGGTCGATGGTATCAAAAGCCGCTGAGAATCTAACAGGACCAGGACAGAGGAACAACCCCTATCCCGAGCCCTCCAGAGATCATCCACCAACGCGACCAATGCTGTTTCTGTGCTGTGCCCAGGCCTGAAGCCGGACTGCAGCGGATCCAGATAGACAGCTTCATCCAGGTACCCAGGAAGCTGTCGCGCCACCACACTCTCAACAACCTTCGCCAAGAAGGGAAGGTTGGAGACCGGATGATAGTTAGCCAAAACAGCCGGATCCAGAGCAGGCTTCTTGAGGAGAGGCCTCACCACAGCCTCTTTCAAGGCGGATGGCAAGACACCCTCACTCAAGGAAGCGTTGATAATCCCCTGGAGCCAGCCTCGCGTAACCTCCCGGGAGGCCAGCACCAACCAGGAGGGACACGGGTCCAATAAACATGTGGTCGCGTTCAGCCGCCCCAGTATCCTGTCCATGTCCTCAGGAGCAACAGGGTCGAACTCCTCCCAAATGGCAGTCTCAAGACCAGCACCCATCATCCCGTCTGCACCTAATTGCTTCAAAGATGGCCTTGATGACGTCTACCACACCTACATCTCATGTGGGGCCCCACGTACCCTAAAACACTTGTATATGCTGGCAGATGGAGTTTGACCTAGCCAGAGACCAACACAAAGGGAGCCATGGGTGGCACAAGTCCTCTTCCCCTGGTCAGAAGGTAACTCCGAAGCCAGCAATGAGTGATTCTGGTTCCACGCAGCAATCCATGGCATTTTTAAGTGCGGGAAGGAGGGGCACCAAGCTGCAGAATGCTGATCCACCAAGCCCAGCCCCAAAACTATGGCAGCTTCAGAGAGAAAGGCAAAGAAACCAGCGCCAAGTTCCCGTGAGACAGTACTGAAAGGGGTGGAAGTTGTTGAATTCGCTCCTCCCGACTATAAGGGGCTAGGAAGTCCAACTGTCCTGGGTGAGGGCGAGACTGATTCCAACAATGATCCCCTGGTAAGTCAACATGTAATCCCTGTGTCCATTCCTGTGGAACTAGTAGTGCCTTCATTAGGGACCCAGAGGAGGATGTTGGCTGTACTGGACTCGAGCTGCACCAAGTGTGTGGTCAGCCTTGAGGTGGTGGAAAAGTTGGGACTGAGACTTAAGCAGCTGAAGGTGCCAATAACTTTTTGCCAACTGAACAGGACTGGAGGAGCACAGCTCATTTATAACTGAGCCAGTGTAAATGAGAATGGGAAAACACAAAGAGACTCAAAATTTTAAAGTGGCGTCAGGGATAGAGAGACCCCTCCTGCTTGGACTGTCATGGCTTCAGAAACGGAACCCTTATGTAAACTGGCAAATCTGGCAAAAGATGGCCAAAAAAGGGGTAGAGATTCCAGCACCCAGAGACAAGAAAGCCAAGGAAAAGAGGGAATTGGGGGCAACATTGTAGGAAAGCCTGAAAAGTGAGCCCTGGATACCCAGGGAGTACTGGGATTTACAGGACATGTTTAGTGAAAAAGGCTCCGATACACTCTCACCTCATAGACAAAAACATAAAGCATGGATTTATCCAACCATCTAGATCTTGGGTGGCAGCCTTATTGCTGTTCCGGGAGAAAAAGAATAGGACCCTTTGCTTATGTGTTGACTATAGAGAACTTAATGCAGTATGCATGGAAAGTGTCTACCCATTTCCCAATGATATGCTTACGCACTTAGCCAAAGGCAAAATCTTACTAAATTAGACTTGCTGGAGGCTTATTATTGAGTTCGGATCAAGGAGGGCAATGAATGGAAAACTGTGTTCAACTGCCCTCTGTGATGTGTTGCATGACTACTTATATAAAGGGGTTTTGGTGTATTTGGTTGATATTTTAATATATACTGAGACTATGGATGAACATGTGAAGTTGGTGTGCGCAGTTCTAAAAAGGCTCCAAGTGGCAAAATTGTATGCAAAGTTTTCCAAGTATGAATTTCACCAAGGTAAGATTGATTACCTGGGTTACTGCATATTCCATGAAGGGGTAGAAATAGACTCAGAAAAGGTGAGAGAAGTGTTAAGAGTGGGCCCTTCCCCACACCAGGAAACAATTATGATTTTTTTAAAGGCTTTGCTAATTTCTACTGCCAGTTCATCCCCTCATTCACCAGGATTGTATTACCAAACACCAACCTTTTAAAAACCAAGGGTAAGGGAAAGGTGAAGCCAAGTCAACCACTTAAGCGGACTATGGAATGCCAAGCAGCATTCGAAAAACTCAAATGGCTGTTTGCTGTGGAGCCTGTACTAAAGCATCCTGACCCAAGTGCTCCTTTTGTAATTCAGGCAGATGTAGCCGTGGGGGCTGTTATTATGAGAGAATGCCCAGGACCCGCTACAATGTTGTGTATACACTTCTAAAAAACTTACCGAAACTGAGCAGAGGTGGGCGACATGGGAGGAGGCCTATGTGGTATGGTGCGTTCTGCTTACTTGGCGGCATTTTCTAGAGGGAGCGAAAATGCCATTCAAAGTAGGGACTGATCATAAAAATCTAGAGACTCTGAAGACCCCATGTAAATTATCTCTTAAGCAAGTTTGCTGGGCTCAATACTTCAATCAGTTCAATTCATATGGTATATCCCAGGTTTTTCTTTTATGGTGGATGCTTTATCACTTTCCTTCAAGCTTGCTGCCAGCTGCCATGGAAATGGGGAGGGACGGAGCAATGGGCATTTTCGGAAGGGAAACGTGCAGATGGTGTGAGTGAAAATGCTGGGAACTGATGAGGAGGATCAGATTCATGGAAGAGAGAGAAGCCACCTTCGGTTGTTTCATAGCTTCAAGGCCAACCGTCCTGGGAATGGCATGCATGAAGGCAGTGCAGAACGCCTGGGCTAGAGACACTCCCAAAACATCTTTCTGGACATTGATTGGACTCTGCCTGACTATTGGGTGGTGGGCTCTGGGGTGATTTTCAATTTGTCCTTTTTGCACATGTTTGCTTCAGACCTTGCATTCTGCATTCAGTTCTTCTTAGTAAAAGTACCTTTTCTCTGGAGTTAAGGGTTTTCTTTCCTAGGAATTGATCAGAGGCAGTCCTGATAGGGAGTCACAAATGATGGCGGTTGTAATTCCAAATTTTGTGGAATGGCATGATATTGAGGAAGTTATTGGAACACTGACATAGACTTGGTAAAAATAGGCTAAAATAGGTTGTTTAGACATGTGGACACAGGGAAACATATAAAAGGCAGATGAGCAGTTGTGCTGGGTGGGGATAGATTGGAATTTAGTTCCAAAATATTTTTGACAATCTTCCCTTAAAATGCAAAAGCCTGGGGACTCTGGGAAATTATCAGGATGACACCAAAGACCAGAAGTATTTAAAAATACCAGTAATAAAACAAACTGAAGCAATATATCAAACTTTTAAGTATAAACTAAACATTATTAAAAATAAAGGAATTTTTCTTTACTGAATCGGTTCTTTACAGGATACTGACAGTAGGAGAAACGAGTTCTGTAGCACCACTAAAATCACCAGCAGCATATTAAAAGAATCATCTATATAAAACAGCATAAAGGGGATGCAAGACTGCAGAACAGACTATGGGCTAGTTTTTTAGCTTGCTGTTGTTGGTCCCACCTGGCGTTGTGTCCAAGATGCATAAAAATAATTACTGTATACCAATTTCAGCATGAAAAGGCACATGATGTGGAATGGCGAGGGTTTTTGTGTAAATTATATTAATGGGGAGTTTGGGGGTGTTTATTATGGAGGATAATTTCTTTTCTTAGCAGAAAATGAACCAGTTACCATTCAGAATTCAATTTTCAGTTTTTGGCATCTATCTAATGGTATTCCTCTGGATCATGTTTTGAATCATTTTTTTATTCAATATAATGGTGAATGATCTGCTTGTTTTTACCTCAAGGTAAACTGTGAACTGCACTGTTTGTAGATGACTGCCCACTGGATTAGTAGGAATTTGAGAAGAGCAGAACAATTGAACAAGGCTCCCAGCAGTTTAGAACAGTAGGGAAAAACTTGGAAGTTTTACATTTTTCTCAACTAAGTCTGCAGGACTGGATTTTGGGCAAAGTGAACGCTTGACTGTTTTAATGTAATTCTCCAAGTAAACCTTGGACTGAACTAGACTTTAGCTGCTGCAGTATCTCGGTATCCAATCCAGCATGTATTAACTTCCTAGGGTTTTGTTGGAGGGCAGCTTTTTTTGGAATAAGATGGTAGTTATTACACCTTTGACTTCTTAAGAGCATTTCCCGATTTTGATTCCTATACAACAGAAGTTGACGCTAACGGTACAACCCTGACAACAGCTACCAACGACTGCCATCTCCACTTAAAACGGCTTTTCAAACGCGGCTTAGCTTTCAGACGGTTCTCCTCTATACATTTTGCCCACGCAGCTAATCCGAGTAAGAAACTACGCTGCGTCAAAGCGGCGGCCCATAATTGATTCGCCCGTTTTGAACGTGCTACGGAGAGGACGGCGGACGTAACGATCTACGTAGCCGATTCACATGTGAAGAGATTCTGGCGGAGACAGCAAGAAAACACGAGCCCGTGTTCCCCCCCCCCGCACACACAAACCGGAAACAGGAACGAGCAAGCAATCACGGGGCCGCAAAAGGTCACGCGTCATTTCCTGTTCCCGTTTTTTCTTAATGGTGCGTCCTCTTGGGCGGGCCGTTGATAGAGTGAGGACGTGGCAGCTCGGAGGAATCGCAGAGTGGACTGGGAGGGGCACTTCCGGGGAGCGCCCGGCCCAGGAACCGGAAGTGGTCATTGCCGGGGCCGCTGGCTGTGGTGAGTCCTGGGCCGAGCGCTGGTTCCTGTCGCGGGCGGCCCGTCGGCGAAGAGAAAGGCCCCGCGGTGGCTTCCTAGTCGGCCGGCCCGGGCTCACGTTTGCATCTGCCGGTCGGCTCCGACCGTCTTCGAAAGGGCTCCAGGTTGGCCTGGGCCCTTCCCGCCGGCGAGTGCAGGAAGGGGCCGCGTCTTCCCTCTTGCCCCTTTCCTGACGGCTCTTGGTGGGAGCAGCTGAGAGGAGCTCGCCTGCCTCCCTTTCCCACGTGCCCGGGGCCTGTCCGTCATGGGTGAGTGTGCTGCGGGACTCCTGGGTTCTGGCGAAATGCCGTAAGCGAGGCTTGGCTGCGTGCGGGACGGGCGATTTCGTGCTTCCGAGTGTCCTGGGCTTCGTGGGAGGTCCTGCTCCTCGCCTCAGCCCGAAATCTCCCTGAGCGACCGGAGGACCGGGAGTCCTCGGCAGGTGCGACTTCTCGATTTATAACAACAACAACAACAAACTCCACATCCACAATAGCGATAAGGCTGCTACACTACATCTCAGCTGGTCTTGGACCATCCCGGATTGTAGGAACAAAGAGAATTTAAATACTTTTAAACTGTACTCAAACCTGTGCATTGTGCTGTATGCCAGGTAACTTAGCCATAATAGTTCCATATTTCGAACATTATATATCTTAGTCTTTACAACCAAATCATAAGATCAGAATCTAAACGTATATTTTGTTGATTTATTTCTCTTATGCCCTGCATTTCTAAAATTTAAAAAAAATTCCTGTTAAGCGTTTTTTAAAACTATTATTAGTTTTATAATAGTGATTATTTCACTATTATATCCATCCTTTCTCAAGGCTACTCTTGCCCAGCTCCTTCAGTGTACTTCATAGAGCACTCTTTCATTCTTTGAGGTGGGTTTGACCAAAGGACAATACAGGAAAAATTCTTATATATTTATATATTGCATTTATTTATTTATATCCCAATTTTTATGAAATGCAAATTATAGTTCTGTGGATACAGTCTAAAACTATAGCATCCTGGGAAGTCTCAGCTGCTCTGGCAGTGCAACCCAAAGCCCCAGCTGTACAGTGCAAACTCAGCAACCTAGGAAGCCCAGCTGCCCCAACAGCATAGTGCAAAGCCACAGCTATCCCAGGAAACCTCAGCCGGCCCAGCCTGCAGTTGCCCTGGCCACCCTGCGCTCCACCATCGCCACTGAACTTCACCTTCTTGCTTCCACTGATGATGCCTGCCCTTGCCCTTCATGAAGCACTTCTAGGCCATCTTTCATTTGTGACCTTGGGAAGAAAACCTTATTTGACCAGCAGCTGCCTCATGAAGGGCCAGGCCAGGCATGCTTGGTCAGCAGTAAGAGCAAGAAGACCGTGAAAGTCAGCTTAGGAGCAAAGCTGTGGAATTCAGAGGACCAAAAGTGCATAGATGGGGGATGGTTGGTGGGTGGGAAATTGAAGCGCCCCTGTGGTCGTAAGTGCAGATAGGCTGCCAAGCTCCCAAATTTTGGTTAAATGACCACAGAGGTGCAGCGATGGCTGTAATTAAATTTCTTAATTTTGAACACTACCATAACTTCAAATCCTCACTGAACAAATGATTGTAAGTCAAGGAATACCTATATTGCCTGTTCAAACAATTTTTTTTAATTGAAGAAGACTGGTTCAAACTGTGAATTGGGGAGTTCAGCCTTTTGCTTGTTAGTTATTAGCATTTGTTTATTAGTTATTAGTCCTGATCAACTGTTGCATTATATCTCAAGCAACATATCTGAGAAATCTTCAAACCAATTTAACTCTAATTTAAGCCTTACAATTCTGGGGATTTATCTGAAAGTATTTGTGCTGGCCTCCTATCTATTATCCATCACAATACCGAAATTTTGAAGGCATTTACTTTTGCCTGGCTGGATGCATTGCCTGTAGGAGTCCTCCTTGGTTGGTAAACGTTACCCCTGGTCATTATGTATTAATGATACAGCATTATGTATTAATGTATTAATGATTGTGATTGGTACTAGGAGTGTATATTGAGACAATAAATAATGAAAGATTGAAGGATGATTTTTTTATATAAATTGGTGTGAAGACTAAGGGAACTAAGGGAAGTGAAAAAAACATGTCTTTGAATACCTCAGCCGGGTATTTTCCTACGTAAACCAAGATTTTCAAAATGCAGTCATAGCTCAGTGAAATCACATCCACTAGTTCTAGGCTTTTATCAGTGATTTCACTGAGCTATGGTGCATTTTGAAAATCTTGGTTTACGTAGGAAAATACCCAGCTGAGGAGAAATACACATAAAGGTCCTACGATTAGAGAAGAAAACGCACGCGCGCACACACACACACACACACACACACACACGGTATATGAAAGAACAAAAGGAAGGTTTAGAACTGAAGGGCGATAGTAAAAGATACGTGTATACAATATGAAACAATATGAAACAATGAAAATGTAATAACTAGGAGTAATACTATATATATTGTACTGAAATGTACCCAGATATCACACTGTTCATGCATTGATATGTATAAACATATAAAATAAAAAACTTGAATTAAAAAAAAAGTTAACCCTGGCATCCCTTAGCCCATGTGTCTCTAAGCCTTACAGGGACTCCTCAGTTTATGAAAATTCAAAGTAAAAAGGCCTCATAAAGAGTCATTAATTGTTGGAGGGTCTCTTTGACATGGTGACGTGACCACATTTTGGTGCTTGGCAGCCAGCTCACATTTATGAACAGTTGCAGTGTCCCATGGTCATGTAACACAATTTGCAATGTTTTTTGTTGGTTTCTGACAAAAATTGCTCATTTGGCAGAGAGTATTTGGATTTATGATCGCTTAACAACTATTGGCCTTCATGGCTTGGGACCAGGTTATCTGTGGGACTGTCTCTTCCCAGTTACATTTTCATATTAGGTTTTTATTGTTTGTAAGCCACCCAGAGTCATTGAGAGTGAATGGGTAGCCATATAAATCTTCTAAAACAAATAAATAAAAACACAGTTAAACATTATTTTTAAAAAAACCCAGTCTGGTCACATGATGCTTGCCATGCTTGCCATTTCAACAACTTAAAACCAAAATTCTGGTCCCAAATGTGGTTGAAAGTCGAGGACTATCTGTATGCTCCTTAGTGGTTATCTTTACTGGGATTCTCAGATGACTGCCAACTATACCATCCTGAAAAAAAAATTCCAGGCAGAGAGAACAACTTCCATTTGTTGCTCCTCCATCAGAAAGGAACCCAGACATATCCTCCTTGGCTATCCAGTTCAGTGCATCTGTTTGTTCTTGCCTTGCTTGTAGCTGAAGATTTTGGTCCTCACTTCCTGACTGTAATTGGGGCCAGGAACTCCCATCACTAAGCAATACAATTGTAAAGTACAGTGTCATTGCTTGCATAAACAGAGACAGAGAATCAAATTTATGGGAAATATTAGTACCACTTTATAAAGCCTTAGTAAGGCCACACCTGGAATACTGTATATAGTTTTTGTCATCATATTACAAAGAAGATATTGAGACTTTGGAAAAAGTACAAAGAAGAGCAACTAAGATGATTAAAGGCATGGAGACTAAAACATATGAAAAACGGTTGCAGGATTTGGGTATGGCTAGTCTAGAGAAAAGAAAGACTAGGAGGGACATGACAGCAGCATTCCAGTATTTGAGAGGCTACCACAAAAGGGGGAAGGCTGTCAATTTATTTTCCAAAGCACCAGAGGGCAGGACAAGAAACGATGGATGGAAAGAAAAGCAACCTGGAATTGAGGAGAAACTTCCTAACAATGAGGACAATTAACCAGTAGAATAGCTTCCCTCCAGAAATTGTGGGTGCTTCATCACTGGAGGTTTTTAAGAAGAGACTGGATAGTCACTTGTCTGAAATGGTATAGGGTCTCCTGCTTGAGCAAGGGGCTGGACTAGAAGACCTCCAAGGTCCCTTCCAGCTCTATTCTGATTGATTGATTGATTGATTGATTGATTGATTGATTGATTGATTGCATCCATAAATTAAAATTTCAGAAATTCAGCAAAATTTTCATACATACAGAATCTTCCCTCCTTCCCTTCCTCCTCTGGAAGAAACTGAGAAATTCAGTTAATTGTGAGAAACATGACATAGTCTTGTACCATAGTTGGCTTCCTTTTACCTAGAAGTTATCTCATATAATATTTTACGCAAATGTTTTTTGTAAATTTTCATATGCTTTCAGGTTATTTGCCACTGGGGTGGAAACTAATTGAGAAGAAATGAAGTTGTCCTTATGTGCTCTTAAAATTGTAAAATGGTGCTATAAATTCCAAGGAAGGAAAGAAGGAAGGCCTCTCTCATTCATTGGTCAAAAAACCATCTTACTCTAATTGAACAAGCATTCATTCCATTGCAAAAGTCTTGCCTTGAAGACTTGTTAGAAATGTGGTTAGTTGCATTTCTTCCCTAGTTTCTTACTAAAATTAAGTGTCCTAAATATAAACATATTAATTGTTCATTTGGGCACATAAATAGTTTTTAAATTTTTTGCAAGTAATAAAACAATAAATTGAGCAAAATGTAGCAATCATTGTAGGAATGTAGGGGGAGTTGTCCATTAACAAGAAATCTACTCTTTCCTCATCCAGTCATGCTAATGGAGAATATTATAGTAGAATACCACAACTGGTACATGGGAAAGTGCAGCAAAACCTGTGGAACTGGTTCTCTTGAACCTTCCAAATGGGAACAAAGATGATCTTGCAAAATAATGTGATTGTATCTACCTTAACAGTAACAGAGTTGGAAGGGACCTTGGAAGTCATCTAGTCCAACCCCCTGCTCACGCAGGAGACCTGTACTAGGGATTCAAACCGCCGAACTTTCTGATTGACAAGCTCTGTGTCTTAGCCACTGAGCCACGTAGTCAGGCTAATACCTTCAGTATTATAGATGGCATACCCACCTGTGCATATCCTGTGAGAGTGTTGTACTGTGTGGAACAGTCACTATATCAGCAAAATAACTGACTGATATAAGTGGCCCTCTGCCCAGATTGCCCATATAATAATTCTAAAGTTCAGTTTCTCCAAAGATCAGAATCAAGCATGTAGTGTTTTTTCTCCAGAGATGTTTTTCTCATAAAGTTGTTGAAGCACAAAGTGGATTGAAAATTGCAGTGATTATGTGTGGCTGGTTTTCTTCCAAGATGAAATGAACCTGTCTGTTAGGATTAAGAGTATGAGATAGTCTTTCATGCAATTTACTTCGGCTGGATATCATAACTAGCAACGCCTCACATGTGCCTTTCTGCTGTTTTCAGATGCTAAAGCATATTTGGAATACATAGTATACAGAGCACTGCTCTTATAAATTTAGCCTGGATTAGCTCAGATTTTCATAGGTTCTTACATTAGCAAAACTTAACTGTAAAGCACTCAGCTTCAACTTTTCCTTTTATGCATATTATGCTTCCCAAAAAAATTATTTACCCTTTGGTTGGCAAGTTTGGTTTGAAATAGTTCAACCAAACCAATAGTTTCGTTGAACTATTGTATTGGACATGGTTAGTGCCCAGATGTAGATACATATTTTATAATTTCATGTTAAAGAGAAATAAAGAGTAACTTTGAGGTATTGAAAAATCCTTGACTTGTCCATTGGGGATATTATTTATCTTCAAACATTGCATATTATGTGTCTTAGTAAAAATTGGATTGTTAATGCTTGCAGAATCTATGTTAGGCCCTCCTGGTGTAAAGATAGAGTAGCTACTACATCAGCATATGAAAGGGCAGATGGAGGCTAATTTGAATTCATTAAAAAAAACTTGAATAAATTCTTCAGCCTAAATGCTTGCTCTACTCTCACCAATCTGCTCTCAAACAGAGAGCCTACCCTTAGGTGATGTCAGTAGCCTTGATCCAGTTGCAAGATCACCTAGGAGGGATAATTTAACATCCTTAATTTAGCTGGTGCTTTTCAAGTCTGATGTGGCTGCAAAGTCAAAGTCATCGTAGATTGCTTTTGAGCAGTCCCTTCATTCCCCAAATACTTTCCTTTCCCAATAAGCACTTTGGCCCTTCTCTGACTTGTGAGCTACTACTGGTGCTGTTAACATTCATGTGAACTAGACTGATGCATTGAGAAATCTAAATCAGAATCCTGTGCAAAGGATCTTGCTCAACTGGTACAGATAGTCCTCGGCCTATGAACATAATTGTTCATATCATAATTGCCCAAAATTTCTGTTGCTAAGTGAGACAGTTGTTAAGTGAATTTTGCCCCATTTTACAACCTTTCTTTCCACATTTGTTAACTTGAATCACTGCAGTTGTTAAGTTAATAACAGGGTTGTAAAATGAATCTGGCTTCCCCGTTGACTTTGCTTGTCAGAAAGTTGCCAAAGGTGATCACATGACCCCAGGATACTGCAACTGTCATAAATATGAGTCAGTTGCTAAACATCTGAATTTTGATCATATTGGAATGCTGCAATGGTCGTAAGTGTGAAAAATGGTCATAAGTCACATTTTTCATTGCCGTTGTAACGGTCACTAAATGAACTGTTGTAAATCAAGGACTACCTTTACACAGAATTTGATGGGATTGCCTAACTAGTTTTTCCTGTGAGGAGTCATCCTCAATTCAGCTTCATACTGTCCTGAATGAAGTGAACTGTCTATATGCTTTTTATGTTTTACTTTCAACCTTAATATATGGAATACTACATATGAAGATAACAAGACTACATATGAAGATAACAAGAGCCTTGGTAGTACAGTGGTCTAAGTCACCCTGTTATTAAGCTGGTTATTAAGACCAGCTGCCTGCAATTACTGCAGGTTCGAATCTCGCCAAAGCTCAAGGTTGACTCAGCCTTCCATCCTTTCTAAGGTAGGTAAATTGAGGACCCAGTTTGTGGGGGCAATAAGCTGACTTTGTATAAATATACAAAAGTATGAAGGCCATTGCTTAGAGCATTGTAAGCCACCCTGAGTCTCCGGAGAAGGGCTGCATATAAATCAAATTAAAATTAAAAAAAATAAAGACGCGGTGGCTCAGTGGCTAAAATGGTGAGCTTGACGATTGAAAGGTCGGCAGTTCAGCAGTTTGAACCCCTAGTGCCGTGTAACGGGGGGAGCTTCTGTTACTTGTCCCAGCTTCTGCCAACCTAGCAATTCGAAAGCACGTAAAAAATGCAAGTAGAAAAATAGGGACCATCTTTGGTGGGAAGGTAACAGCATTCCGGGCGCATTTGGCATTTAGTCATGCCAGGTGCATGACCACGGAGACGTCTTTGGACAGTGCTGGCTCTTTGGCTTTGAAACAGAGATGAGCACTACCCCCTAGAGTCAGGAACGACTAGCACGTGTGTGAGGGGAACCTTTACCTTTACCTTACATACTGTGTTAAGATAGACATTTGGAGAGATAGCCTGATTTTTATTTAGTTTATCTATAAGCTGTTGCTCCAGAATTGCTACCATTCTGTTGTTAGTGTGTTGGTGGTGTTAAGAGATTTAAGGTTTGTATAGGTGGAAGGAGGAAGAACCTGTTCTATTGAATGAAACAGTCATGTTTTTTTCTTAGATTTAAAATGTACATAAAATGTACATGGGTTCTGGATAGTTCAAGTGACAAACCCCAGTCAAAGCTAAACATGCTTTTTTGCAAACTGACCCGTTGGGGCCGTAGCTATCTTCTTTAGGTTTTTTAATCCAAGAGGTTTTATTTTGCTTTATTACTGCTGATAGTTTTATAAATATCTTTATATTTTAATATCCTTCTCGCTTCATTTTTTAAAAATTTATTGAATGCCACTCTGAGAACCTGTAATAAGATGATATACAAAAGCCTTAAATAAATAAATAAATTTGTGGGAATTACAATCTAATGTGAATGAAAATTGAAGTTTGAGGTTTAATTATGCTATGCCTTAATCTTCTTTAATGGTGGCAAGTCATCATACTCTTATATGTATATGAGAACTTATTTATATGGAATAAATTGAACAGCAGTGAATAATATAATGTGAAATAATAAATTCATACTCCACAGAGGCATGTACTGTAAGCATTGTTATATCAAATTGTTTCTTTCAACCTTTCCTCTTCCTAGCAATATTACTCTGAGTGATTTCTAAATGGTTCTCTTTCCTTCCCGCAGGTGAAGAGTAGCCTGGGGATGTGAACATAATGAGTGTAAACCAGCAAGCTCACACAGGGCCACCTTACGGGCAATCACAGCCTGGATATGCAAATTACATGCAGCCTGACTATGGAGGACAGCAAATGCAAAGTAGTCCTGCCTCTCAGTACGGGGCTTACAATGGCCCAGTGACAGGATACCAACAAGCAGGCCCTCCCCAAGGTAGGAGGAGAGGATGGTCTTTAGCGGGTGGATTGGGCTTCTTCATTCTCTTGGAAGAATGGTCATTGTAAAGGAGTAAGCTATTTTAAGCTAATAACTGTCATCTTCATGATTTCAACACAGCTTCCTCATTATGAAATACTGGAGGTAGGTGGGTTGTAAAACACTATATTATGCAACATTGCTCTCTGAAATTTGGTAGGTTGCAAATAATATATTGGCAAGCATATCTGGAGGCTGGTATAGGGATATGTGTAGGTATATGGCCTGTCAAGAAATGGGGGGGGGGATTATGCCTGTCGGCAATAAAACTTTTCTAGAAGGCTGTTTGAAGAAATAGAGATTAGGTTCTTTGCTATTGGAAAACTAGTTTTTGTTCTTGAAATAGCAATGATGGACAAAAGTGGCACATTTGCCGTATTTATATTTCTCCGTACTTGGCAGATAATGCAGGGCTTTTGTAATTTTAAGGCATGGGGATATGAATTAGTAGGAATTTGGTGAAGAGTTCATGCCTCAGACTTAATTTTTGTCTATATTATTCATCAAAAAGGAATAAAAACCTCCAGTTTGTAGAAATTTTATGTTCTACTGATTACTTGAAAATCTTGCACTATTCCTGATGAGAAGTTACTTTTTTTAAAAAAAACTGTTCTGTAAAAACAATATTTATTGCTGGCCAGTAAATATGTGAGCAGTTTAAGTTTTGCATTGCTTTTAAATAGTTCAACTTTTGACCTTTTTATGAGAAGTTGTAAATATTATTTTAAAAATTGTTACGTAGAAGTATGCATTGCCAGATTAGATGCAAAATGCATGAATTTAAGTTTATTCAGCACTTAATTGATAGATTGATAGAAGTGAGCCCTTGATAATCAGAAACCTAAAGAATTATCAGTTCAAATGCTAGAACAGGGATCTTCCAACTGATGCCCTTGGTTGTTAGTGTTAGAATTAATATATGGACTTTTATCCATTTTCACTCTTTAAATTATTTTCCATGTAATAGCAGAAACTAAGTGGCAAGAAATTGGTGCCATGGACTAAACAAAATGAGCTCTGACTCCATTCTCAGTTGTTGTACTGTGATATCCAGCATCTGTTTCATATTAAACACTGATAACTTATGTGATTCATATAAAGCAAGAGCAATAACAAATATAGCAAAATATATGCTGAATATATGTAGAAATACAACTTCGTAGCTAGTTTGAGATGGTCTGCCTGAACATTTTTGAGCAATAATCGTGACAACTGTTAACAATTATTTAGAAGTGGCCAGTACATACAGTATTCAATCACTTGTTTTTACATTTATGCTTGAGATGTGCTTAGTAGAAAACAAGGCTCTGCAGTGCTTTGGGTAAGAAGGTGGAAAGTGCTCTAGAGCATGCAGGAGTGTGAATGTGGCATTTGTCTGCACTTCCTTCAATCAAATGTCTCTTTTGGGGAGGATTGAACAACAGTCCTAAGAAAAGACACAACACACACTTCTGAAGACACGTTCTCTGAAGATGGGCTCCAGCATGAGTTCAAAAACTCAGATGACAAAAGCTTTGGTCCCTGTGATCGACCCACATTGGACCCTGCAACATTATCCTGGGACACATTCATTCGTGAGAGAGACAACTGTTTTGAGGACTTGCAAATAGGTGCTGTATTCAAATCTCCATTCACTGTAAAGGATTGTTTCGACTTTGAGTTCAGTGTCCTAGTAGAACATTTTAATGTGTATTGATTTGTAGAAGCACCTTTGAAAACATAGCTTCTCTGTTCCCTCCCTCCCCCCTGTGACTACTCTATTTTAAAATAAATATGTTGCTAAGCCATTAAATGCTAATACCACAAAGCCCTCCTCTGGTTAGGCTTTGTTGTTGCCTATGCTGCTTTTCAGTCACATGACTGTTAGGTGGGAGGGAAAAGAAATAATTTATTACATTTATGTATATAATATATTTGTTTTTCCATTTTTAACATCTGGCATAATACATATTAATGGGCACATACAAACACATTATTATACCTTTGCCTTTCTAGGTTACTATCCTTCCCTGGGGTTTCCTTCTAAGAATCCTCCTGTCTCTCTTGATTCTGATGCTTCCTTTGCTCCTAACTTCCTAGGTAAATGCTTTCCATTTATCATGTGAAAAAAGACTTTCTAATGCATTTGCTTTAACTATTCCACTTCATCTGAATATTAAACTATTGTAGTGTAGAGAAATGAGTATGCCTATAAGGCATTTGCAGATATTTCCTATAAATGTATGACAGTAGGCCAAAGGTTTTATGCAGCAAGGAAAAATCCTAATATGATCACAAATACTTTCTAGTAACAAAAGGTTTTCTAAAAATAGAGAAACACTAAATTGTAAGTCAGTTTTAACCTGATGGTTAAAATAGAGCTAGGAAATAGTGGGCTATGAAAACAATGCCAATATTTTCTCAATTCTATTTCTGCCCTTTGTGTAATTTAACTGAAAAAGCACAGTATTCATGTGTACTAGAACTTCTAACTTGCGGTGCTGATCTGTTCATTAATCATAAAGATTGATTTATTTTAATATGTGCTAATCGGCTGAAGGAGTTTGGCCTTTGTTCCTCTACTAAATAACAAGACTTAGTTTTCCTTTCTCTTACTGTATATTACATTATATCAGGATAAAACAGTGAGAGGGACAAGCTAGAATCCCTCAGGCACATGTCACACTGAATAAACCATCTGAAGAGTAGTTATAGTTTATTAGCTATATTTTTCTGCATGAGGAATTGCAGAGTTTGAACAGAACAGCATGCTTTTGTTCATTACTAAACTGTCATTAACATAGATCACTCTTTCTTTCTTAAACAAAAACATTTTCTCCTGTTGTCTGGTGGGTCCTCTGCCAAATGTCATATGTAGCTAATCTTTATTTTTTATTTTCTCTTTCTCGTAATAAAATTCTTGTGTAGCATGAAATATACCTGAAAAGATAATATACGACATTTAATGCTGTGGGTCTATTTCATGTGGTTTTTATGAATGGTCATGCCAACAATTTTGATAATTGATGTGTAAGTGACAATGGAATTCAATACTTCTAGGTTCTCTAAGAGCTCCTCCCACCTCATCTGGAGTATCTGCATCGACATCTGGAACATTAATCCCTTCTGAACAACCTGCCTGTAGTCAGTTTGGACAAGGAGATGTACGAAATGGGATACCTGCTTCTACAGTTCCCGTGCAAAGGTATTTAAGAAAAGTCTACTCAGGACGTGAACCTGATATTTGTGGGACGGGAAGACAGAAAACATGGCATTCTATCTTGCCATATTTTTGCCATAAGTTGTAGATTTGCCTACAGTCTATGCTTGTGGAGATTCCTGATCTCACTTGAAAGATGATGGGGAACTTCGAAGCAAGCATTTTCTGTATAAGCATGAATTGGAATTAGTCATTCCATACTCATTAGTTGTATAGTCTGGTGTTTTATTTATTTTTTCATATAGGGTTTCATATTTTTAAGAATATGCAACACTAGCTATATTATAGAAACTGCAAAAAGCACTCCATAAATCAATCAATAAAGTTTCCCCTGTATGCGAAGCTGCTAAACAATAACTTTAAAACGATAATGGGCATATAGTATCCTCTGATTGAAAAAGGATTCTAATAGTATTAAATAGCTCTTAATAAATTGGGAGATATTGGCTTTAAAAGCATGCTTCTTTATATTTCTGCAGTGTCAGTTGAGAGTACTTTTAAAGTACTCTCACTATATCATTGTTTTCAACTTAAGTTTCCCTGAAAAAGATGGCTATGACCTCTGGCAACTTCTTTTCATTGTGCAGCTATAATCCCGGCTGGTGTTCATATACTTAAAACTAAATCCCTTTCAGTTTAGTGAAGCTTGTGCATATATGAGACAATGGGTCTCTGCTTTTCATGTTTCTTGGCCTTATTTTTTCCATCTTCATAGATGTTTTTATTACTTCCTCGTTTAATTTTCTCATCCTTCCCATGTTCTTTTTCCATCTGTTATAGCCAGATCCTGATCCTGGTGAGGCATGATAATTCAAGTGCAGACTTCTGCTGTTGTCTAGAAATGGAATCTATTATTGAGTGCAGATTATGACTCTGCCCCCAGCTGCCATTAGGGCTCTTTAGATTAAAAGGAACAGCTTAGCTTCTTTTTGCCATCCCCTTAGACTCTTAGTCATAGTAAGCTAAGTAATTTCATTATTTTAAGGAAACTTGCCTTAGTTTTGTATTTTTATTGTTTCTAACAATTGTTAGTTGCAGTATATTGCCTGTACTTTTAACTAGGATTGTATTAACTTTTATTATTCCCCGGTTGTCCAGAAAACTGTGGAGGCAGACGAATTGTGTGTGACAATAGTTATGCATAAGTACCAACACCACGACAATAGTTAAGTCGTGGTGGTGCCATCAGCAGGCTACTTCTGCTGACTGCTGGGTGCTAACAGTTTGGCGGTTCAACATTGGGAAAAAAGTGGAAAGCAAGTTTTTAGAGTTGTGTAATGCTCATCTTATAAGGCAGGGGTGTCAAACTCAAGGTCCCCAGGCCAGATCTGGCCCGCAATGTGGTTAGATCTGCCCACAGGGCCGCCTTGGAAACAGTGAAGGACTGGCCTGTGGCACCTCGGCCCAGCCCAAGCCAACTAGACACTTATCTACAACCTGGTGATGCAGTCAGCCTTAGATTTGTGGGGCTGCCCTGGAACCAGTGAGAGGCTGTCCCCCCCACCTCCGCACAGGAAGCGGTGAGTGTATGGGGCCTGGCGTCCCTAGGGACCATCTTGCCCCGCAGGTTGACTGCATTCTGAGTGCTTCTCTTTCACCCAGAACCCCAGCACTCACTGCCTCCTGCGGCATGCCCAGGGGGTGGGGCCAAGGCAGTGGGACGGCTCCTCACTGGCTCCAGGGCAACTGTGTGGGTCAGATCTTAAGGCTGACTGCATTCCAGCCCAGAGGGCTGCCACAAGTTGTAGATCAGTAGTGCGTCTGTCACCAGTGCCTCCATGCTCCACTCACCGGCCTGACCTTGTAGCATGCAAGGCTTTCTCTTCACCAGGACCACCCCTGCCCCGTGTGGGAAAGCTACGGCCACCGGCAGCACTGCCAATCTCTCCCCCTCCCCTTGTCCTTTCCTGAGCGTGTAGGAAAGGAGATGGGAATGAGGAGGGAGGAAGGGAAGGAAGGAAGGAAGGAAGGGGATAGGGATAGGAGGAAGGGGGGGAGGAAGGGGAAGAGGGGAAGAAGGAAGGAAGATGGAAATGAGAAGGAAGGAATATGGGAATAAGAAGGAAGTTAGGAATGAGAAGGAAGGAAGGAAGGAAGGAAGCCAGATGGGAATAAGAAGGAGGGAGGGAGGGAGATTATGAGAGGAAGGGAGGGTCTGAAGGAAGTCCTGCCTTAGTACTTGGCCACCAACTGCCCTGCTGCCCTTTCGCCATCCCCTTGCCCCCTCTTCTCCTGGTGGTCTCCCATCCTATCGCTAAGGATGCTTTGGTTACAAAGCCAGATCTTCTCACAAGGAGATGGAGTGGGCCTCCATTGGACCCATACACTTTCTCCTCCTGCACATACCATGAGCAACCTGGCCAAAGAGAGTGAGCACAGCAGCAGCAGCCTTGAGGAGCTCAGCCTGTGGGGCAAGATGGTTCCCAGGGATTCCAGGACCCGCACACTCGTTGCTCCCTGAGCACAGCCAGAGGGCAGGGTGGGGGCGGCCTCTTGCTGGCTCCAGGGCGGCCACGTGGGTCAAGTAAGGTGAAATTTATTTCTTTCCAGTAGTGGTGCCTCAAACAGCAAAGTGCTAAGGAAATTACAAATAAAGGCAATGAAATTATAACAGAATAAGAAACTATGAGGAGGTATTGAAGAAATAAATCCATTTTTTCATTTGAAATATTATTTGGGAAGAATATGATTCCTTCCCACAACTCTGCAAAAGCAAAAACCACTCATACATCATCATGAAATCTCCAGAACCATAAAGCCTACAAACTTGAAATTTGCCACATGTGTTCCTCTTGGCTTCTAGGTGCTCACTAAGAAAGGATTTTTTGAAGTGACCATGAGATCATTACTATTTCATATATAGTATTATATTCACATGCTCTGATGCTAAGGAGTTAGACATTCTATTCCCCCTCCCCACCTGAAAGGAACTCTGTCCCAACTGCCAGTTGCCTTATATTAACACGCTCTGATGCTACGGAGCTACAGATTCTACATTAAGTTTCAGGCTTTAAGTGTCAATTTATCACACCCAATCACATAGTTTCGTAGCGAAGCATGGGTGTCCAGCTAGTACATACATACATACATACATACATACATACATACATACATACATACTGTAGGTGTTTTTGTTTTAATTGTAAGTCACTCAGAGTCATTTTGTTTGGCTGGTCTTTAAATATAAATAATAATAACATGCACCGTTTGAACCTGGCATGGTTGTCTTCATTGCATCTGTCGGAAGCCATAGCTTTGTGATCTCGAGAAAAGGTGTGGCTTTTTTAAGGATCTGCCAACAGGTGCCTCTATCAATCCTATTAGTACATATAAAAGATGTGCAATACACAGATAATTGACATTGTCTGAATAGACAGATTATTTCCTTCTAGTTAAATTCTCTCTGAAAGCCTGAAATTTAGATCCAAATTTAAACACTTTATATGTAAACACTTTAAAAGTTATTTCTACAATGGCCCCTTGTGCTTTATCTTATCCATTATCCATACATGATATTGTCAGAAAGTGACATATAGTATACAATTATTCAAATTTCCTGTTCTGAATTGAAAAAGAACTTTAGATCCACCACAGTCCAAGAAGTGTAAGGATTTGTCTCTTTCCAGGGCTAAGTATAAGCAATGATGTAACCTAAGTGATCTATGTCAATAAAGAGCTGTCTTTATTCTCTTCCCTCCAGAGCCTCTGCTTCTCAACAGTTCATGGCGGGCACAGCACCTCCTTCTGTGGCTCACACTCCTGCTTTCCAGCAATATGGACTGCCTCCAACAAGCACCCAACAGCTGACTAGTCAGGTGGCAGAAATGCAGATAGGCAGGGGAACATCCTCTGTCCCATCCCCAGCTGGACTGGGCTATGGTGAGAAGTGGTAACATTGGCATGATGTGGGTGATTTGGTTTGGAAGTTTCTTCAGGAAAGTTTATCCTGAAACTTTCCTGAAGAAAGTTTAGCCTGCTACAGCGTTTAAAATCACATCCATTGGTTTTGTTTGAAACTCTCATCTGTTCGTACTTGTAGAATAAAAGCTTCTGTAGTGTGTATCAGTACAGTGCAGGACAACATGCACAGTTACAACCTAATAAAAAATACAGGGGATAGGTTTAATAGCAGTGCTGAAAAAAGCATAAGGGTGATTAAAAAGTATTCTGCCTGAAGCTGAGAAAAGGAAATAAATATTGCTCGCGTGGTTCAAAATGAGACTTTGTGATACTTCTCTCCCATGGATTATGAATAACAGTTATGATAGTTATGACATATATTATGATATATGTTTAGAGTACCATGTTGAGAAAGATGGATTTAAATCATAGTATTAAAATTTGTAGCTGTATTTGTGGTCTTATCCATATGTGGTCTGTGGCTTGCCTGCTCCTGATTTAAAATAGTACAGTGTATGTCATCCATTTCTTTATATATTACTTGAATTTGAAAGAGCTGTGTGTGTGTAGAATAGATGTTGAATCCAAACTAAATATATTGTACTTTAAAATGATGCATTAACAATCAGCGGAATTAAATTTTGGTGTCAAAACTTTGTTATTGCTTTACGTTATTTCACAGAAGTCACTTAAAGTTTGAAGGTTGATCTGCTTATTTAAGGAATACAAAACAATGAAACTAGGGGCCTATAATTTTCTTGCATACAGTATAGAAAGCCCTCCCCCCCCCCCGCCTTTATTATATATGACTGAATTGAATTCTTAATTGATCTGTTTTCCTTTTGTGGCACCTTTTGTGGCAATTTTGGCATTAGCAAAAATTCATTTTACTTCCTGGAAAATATGAAATCGGTATGCTTTATTGCCTATTTGAATTGATCTGGACTTTAATGGATTGGCATTATTGCCAGTCTTAATTTTTAGTCCAATTCAAATTTAAGAGCTGTTCAAACATGTCTTATATTAAAGCTTAGGTAATTGAGGTAATCAGTATGTTTTCACATGTACTGTATTTTCTACGTGTGTAATGAAAGTAACTCTTAGCATATGAAATCAGTCAAGTTATTTGTTAAGGAACATTACAAAATTCAGTCATCAATATACAGTATGTTTTCCAAGACTACCAAGAAAATGGAAATAGTTATTAAATTTTGTTTGATGCATCTCCTCCTCAGGTCCTCTGACATCGGTTACATCGGCCTCAGGAAGTTTTACTGCACGTGGATCTGGGCAATATATGTCATATTCAGGCCAAGGACCAGCACCTCCCAACGTATCTCATGGATTGCCTCCTACCACCTTGTCTCAGGGTCTTCCTATAGCTCAGCCACCTATATCAGGTCCATCAGCCCTGCATACTTCCGCTCAACCTCCCCTATTTGCTCCCCCACCTTCAACTGCTGGGGTTGGAGTATCCAGTTATCCTGCTGCTACGGGGATTTCAAGGCCTCCCACAATGCAGGGTGCATTGTTGCCTGGACAACCAGTTACTGGACTGCTCACTTCACAGCCAAATCATGTGACCTCACCACCACCTCAGCCACTTATGACAGGACCACTTCCTGGGCCACCAGTAACAGGACTGCAGGGACCACCTCCCGTCCATCCTTCACAACCAGGATATGCACTGCAGCAAAATGGTATGTTGTAAAAAATGATCTGTTCATTGGTCCCTAACTTACATCTAAGGAAAGGTCAATTGGCTGTATCCAAACACTAGTGAGGCTTATATTCATGTGGGTGAGCTGCTCCCTACACTTTTTCTCCTGCAGCATTTGATTCAGAGGCTCCTTTTGGCCCTCTGAATTGGATTTGGACTGAGAGATGGGGTGGTGTTTGGTAGAATCTTAGTATTTCATTTGAGTTGTATAATAGATACTAGTATCTCTTTTTGTTCTCTAAGATGCTGAATAATAATTTCATATCATAAAATATCAATTTCTTCATCATCTAAAGCTTAAAAAAAACAATTCCCAGTGTACTATTTCTACTGTGGTACATGTAGCTCTTTTCTCTAGATTTTCCGGTACCATTTTTCATATAACATTTTTCCTCTGCTGATTTTGAAAACTAAAAAAAAAATCATTTTGGTCACCTAATATTTTTCCTACATTAAGATATGATATGTTTCCATATATAAATTAATTTGCTTCCAAGCATAATGAACAGTGAATTAGTGGTCATTTTCATAGCTGCCTTTGCAATATTTTTTTAACAGTTGAGAATTGTACTTTTTTTAAAAAAATTCAAATCTTACGGATTATTTCACAAGAAGTCACTTAAAGTTTGAAGGTTGATCTGCTTATTTAAGGAATACTAAACAATGAAACTAGGGGCCTATAATTTTCTTGCATACAGTATAGAAAGCCTCCCCCTCCCCCGCCTTTATTATATATGACTGAATTGAATTCTTAATGCTAAAAGTAATTACCATATTTTTGGACTATAAGACGCACCTAGCTTTTGGGGAGGAAAACAAGAAGAAAAAAAATCTGCCTCTGCCTCCCAGCATCCATTCAGTATTCATCTGGCCCACTCGCTGCAGCCTGTTTGCCGCAGCCCGTTCGGCACCAACCATTTGGCACAACCCATGCTAGAATAGCTGATCAGCACCACAACAATCCCCCTCCCCCCAATATTTGCTGTATAAGACACACAGACATTTCCACCCACTTTTTGGGGGGCAAGTGCATCTTATACTCTGAAAAATACAGTAATCCCAGATATGAAACTTCTAAAACAGGAACATGATATCTTTCAATAAAAAGCACAGTGAGATGAACCCCAAGAAAGGGGGTCTTACTTGTTATCTTGTTAAAATTAACATGTTAAACCTAATGCTATTTGCTTACTGAAATCTGTGAAGCTCTGATAATATATACGGTAGTGATAAATATGGAGACGTTCAGAAAATCCAGATGGGAAGCAAATATTCCAACACAACTTTTTCTGTATTTTCTGCTGCTTTATTCTTTATAATATATGGGAGATTCTGTATGCCACCTTTTTGACCCAGTCTGAAATTCTAATTTTACAAAGCTTTTCTGTGGAAATATTGTCAAGATGTATTAAAGTAATTAATACATCTTAAATTTCAGAGGTGATCCTGAAAAGCATTATTCATTTAGGGTTTAATTTAGGATTCTAAGTAAAATTGTTCAAATTGAAGTTTTGAGTGGTCTAATCAGAATCTGAGTTTAGTAAAAGCAATTGAGAGATTAATATTCTGGACCCTTTAAATTATGTTATGCATTCAAATAAAGGTATATTGCATCATTTTTTTCAGGTTCTTTTGGGCAAAATAGAGGAACTCAACCAATGTATGGTGCAGCTTTCCCTGGACCAGCAAATTATGGAAGTCAGCCTGCAGCACCACCTCCACCCAAACGACTTGACCCGGACTCCATTCCTAGCCCAGTAAGTGAGCCAGATCACTTTTAGAATTTAACATCCTATTCTAGAAAGTGATGCGGAAGGAAAAACAAGACTCTTGGTTCCTCTGCATTTGCTTAATTCATAGTCATTTCCTACAGCCAAAGGGCATTTTTGCACATTACTTTTTCTATCCCTCTTAGCATTCTAACTGCTTCCAGAGTTGTGCTTCTAAAGAAATAGCATATTGATTAGATTATCACAAATTTGCCCACTGCATTTCCTGTGATCATGCCAGAGCTGAAAAAGGATGATAGGAACTAGTAGGAACACTATCATGTTTAGTCCATGTTTGTCCACATGAATAATCTTGATAGCTTAGACTGATTCTTTGGATATATGGAAAGCATATTTGAAATGGGGCCAGTAATCATACTAGGCATGTGATTGGCTGTTTCATAGTTACTAAAGTGAGGCATACTGACATTTATTGCTTTTTTAAGGGAACCCTGACTAGCATAACAGCATGTTGTAAACCCTACAGTGCTGCGGACTGAATTCTAAGATTCTGTGACCAGAGTCAAAGATTCAATCTGTGACCAGTTTCAAAGGACCCAAATCTCTCATATTACCACAGACTTGCTCTCTCCAGTGCAATGAATGTTATGATGGTATTCTGGCTTTTGTTAATATCCAGTGGTAGTTGCAATGGCTCTCCCCAGAGTACCTGAGAATGCCTTTTCCGTTGCAATGCCAATTTAGCTGATGAAAAGAAGTACAGCCATCTATATTTTAAAGCTGAGGTTTACCAACAAGAAAGTGGTTAGCAGCTCTGTTTTCTTTTCTGCTTTTCCTTTAAGGACATTTTCAGAAAACTTGAGCATACCTCAATCTGTAATTCTGAAAACATGAAGTAAGCATGAGAATTGCCAACTCCATCAAAAGAAGATTCCCTCTAATGTACTTTCATGGAAATAAAATGCGAAAAGCTAACCAAGTATTATTCCCCCACTTTGCATGAAGACTGTCCTGATGAATATATTTAACAGTGGTAGAAATTAAGATAGACAGGAGTAACACTGCTTGGTACTTTTTATTTTACTACTCTCTCTCTTTTCCCTTTTTTGTGGCAATTTTACTTCTTTTTTTTCTTTTAAACAAACAAAAAAGCAACTCAATGAGCTGCCACCTCAGCAGAAACCCAGGCACAGAATAGATCCTGATGCAATTCCTAGCCCAGTAAGTGCGTTGTCTCTCTGTCTGCTCTTGTCTGCATGTCGGTGGCTGCCTGTGTATATCCGCAAAATAATTCCCCTTGTTAACCACCCCTGGTGTTAGTCCATCACCTTTCCTCTGCCTCTCTTTCTGCTCACATTTTGATAAACAGAATAAAATACCGCAAGTGTGGAAATCATCTGTACATCAAAAATCAAGGGGCAATAGAAGCTTGGCATTTAAAACCACAAAAGATAAGCAGGTTATATATTTTCCTTCCAACTCTAGCCTTGTGTAAGCAAATAACCCCTGAAGAAATCATGACATACTTAGCATATACTTAGGATGAATATTTAAGAATAAATTGGACATGTAATGTATTGAATACCTGCTGTAGCATGAATTTAACAGCTATTTTTTTAAATTAATTCAGTTTAATTAAGCAGCAGGTCAGTTCATATTGTTTTCATGAAGACAAAAAATGTCACTTGCCTATTGCTCCTACATTGTTTTGTCTTGGGAATGGGCTGAATTTGGTCACAACACGTAAAATAGATTGGTGATGTTACCAACTTCGCTTAGTTTTTTACAGCTGAAACAAAAAAAAAAAGTCTTGGTGTGGTCACTTCAATTTTCTGTGCAATCTCTTTATAAGTGTGTTTCAAATCAAGGGAAACTTATAGTCATTTTCATCATAAGAGATATTGTTTAAAATAATCTAATTCTATAGGGAAAGGAAGTTGAAGCATTCCAGTTAGAAAGGTGAATTGGATGATAAATTAAAAGGTTACATTTAAATTGTTTTTGATAACATTATAAGGAATAGATTTATAATCCAAGTATTAGAAAGTAATTAAGTAGTACGTTGCATCACGGGTTTAACAATGCTCTTTGTTGAGTGATTACGAGTAGAATCCATATCTGGTAGTAGCAACAAATTATTATTACTATTCTTCTTAACCCAGAAGAAAATTTTGGAATAGTTTTAGTGGAGCAGAATTCCATGGTGAAGGAATAGTATTGGTGAAGCAGGATACTGATAGCCAAAAAAGTCATTGTTTTGAAAAATCTGGCCTACGTTTTTTCAGAAACAGTTTTCAGAAGTATGCAACAAAAATGTGGAATTGTTTTTCAGGAATTGGATTGCTGCATCTAAAATATACAGAATATATCTAGGCATGTAGCAGGGAGGGAAGTAGATGGAAGAAAACTAGGGTGCAAAATAATTTTGAACTTGCCTTTTCTCTGACAACTAGTTTCTCTAGATCAAGGGTGTCAAACTCAAGGCCCGGGGGCCGAATCTGGCCTGTGGGGTGCTTAGATCTGACCCGCGGGGCCATCCTGAAAACAGTGAAGGACCGGCCCACAGTGCCTCTGCCAGCAAAAATGGAGCTCGGAGGGCTTTGGGCAGCCCTCCCAAGTTCCATTTTGGCTGGCAGAGGGTTGCAGGAAGCCATCACAGCCAAAAATGGAGCTCACAAGGGCCACGGGCGGCACTTCCAAGCTCCATTTTCCTTGGCAGAATGCTTAAGCCACCACAGGCGCCCCTGACATGAGTGACATCGAGCTGGCCATGCCCACCCCGGCCCCCCAAGGTCAAACACAACCCTCAATGAAATAGAGTTTGACATCCCTGATTATGATTATCTTAGTTTCAAGGATTACTTCTTCTTACAATCTAGTTTAGGGTAGCCTAACATATCTCAATGAGAGCTGATTTTTTTTTTCACATTTTTTTTACATAGTGCCTTTGTCTTGATTATCATCCAACTTGAAACTCCAAAAGCAGTTTATTTAAATATTAGAGAGGGAGTGAGAGGGAGAGAGAAAACACCTGATAAACAAAAATGCTGTTGTAATGATCCAGCATAAAATTCTCAGCTATAACTTGACTGTCCAGTTGCAAAAAGAAAAAAGTGTAAACAATGACTTTATAAACTTTATAGACAACATATATTGAAGTGAACATTGCAAAGTGTATTAGCTACACCACTAATTTTGGACTGTTGTTTTCAATCCTAGCAAAACAAGTAGAAGTGTAAAATGGATACCCTCCTTTAGGGATTAAAAATGTAGTAAGTTATATTATCACAACCTTTGCTAAAAACTTTTGTAGTGCTAACTTGTTGCTTCCCATTTTAGATTCAGGTTATTGAAGATGACAGAAATAACCGTGGGTCGGAGCCATTCATCACAGGAGTACGTGGGCAAGTCCCACCTCTTGTCACTACAAATTTCTTGGTGAAAGATCAAGGTAAAGTAGCATCCACGAAGGCAAGGATAACTAACTCACCATCAAAAAAGAATTTTTTTGTGTTCAGCATAAACACTTGGATTAAGTTAATTGTGTTATATAGTGAAGAACTGCAATTTTTCTGTTCAGAATTTCATTATGCATTCATATTGTGCTCTTCAGCCATACAGTTTGCCATGCTGTATTTTCACACTAAATTTCTGAATAATGTTACATAGAATAATATACATAGCTCCAAAAGAATATGGAGAACAGATCCTGACCTCCTTGAATTAATGATAAGCATTAAAACACTAAGGGGTAAGTCATTCCTATTCAAGGTTTGAATGCTATGAGTTCTATTGTGCAAGAAGATATAGATAAATAGATACAGGTGTACAGAAGCATATATTCATACCTACACATACCAATGCACAAATACATATTCATATTCCTGAAAACTGCTTTGTAATGTCAAAATTTGAAGTGCCTGTTTACTTATTTGATTTGTATCCCACCTTCCCTCAGGAGCTCAAAGTAGTGACTTTTTGATTTAAAATAAAATTTAATTTTAGAAATATGCTATGTTTCTAAAATTAAATTTTATTTTAAATCAAAAAGTCACTACTTTGAGCTCCTGAGGGAAGTTGGGATACAAATCAGATAGGTAAACAGGTAGTCCAAATGTTGACATCTATGGCATCATGCTTTTGTGGACTTATTAAAACATTTATACCACAAGCCCTGGACCAGGAGGCCCTGCTTACTGTCACCCATGCCCTTGTAACCTCCTGCTTAGATTACTGTAATGGGGCTGCCTTGAAGAGCATTCAGAAAATCTAACCAGTGCAAAAATTTTTTATTTTTTTTATTTTTTAATTTGATTTATATGCCGCCCTTCTCCGGAGACTCAGGGCGGCTTACAGTGCGCTAAGCAATAGCCTTCATACTTTTGTATATTTTATACAAAGTCAGCTTATTGCCCCCACAAACTGGGTCCTCATTTCACCTACCTTAGAAAGGATGGAAGGCTGAGTCAACCTTGAGCCTTGGAGAGATTCGAACCAGCAGTAAATTGCAGGCAGCTGTGTTAATAACAGGGTGCTTTAAACCACTGTAGTACCAATGCAGCTGTACGGGTAATAAATGGTGCCAGCTACATGGCACATGTAACACAACTCCTCTGTGAACTCACTGGCTCCTGGTGTGTTTCCAGGTGCTGGTTGTCATCTTTAAAACCGTACATGGCTTGGGGCCGGGTTACCTGAAGGACCATCGTTTTCCAAGTGTTTCTAGCTGTCCGGTCTGATCCAACAGTTTGGGCATGCTGCATATCCTGTCAACCAAAATGTGTCAACTGGCAGGAACTAGAAGATGAGCTTTCTGTACCGTAGCCCCTGCCTGATGGAATATTCTCCCCTTGGAGATTATAATGGACCTAACCCTTTTGGCCTTTCACAGAGTTCTAAAAATTGTCTGTATACCCAGGTCTAGGGCTGGGAATGGGTTAAGGGCCTCATTACTTGATTTATTATTGGTTGGCTAACCATCATGGCTGCAAGCCTATTTGGATGAGAGATAACTGTGGCATATCTGATCTGCAGGCTAGATTGAGAAGTAAAAGAAAATGTCCAGGAGGAAAGTAATAAATAGCAAACTAATTCTGTATTAGTCCATCTAGTTATTAACTGTTAGGTTTCACAAATGGAGGCAAATATACGTATCCCAGGATAATGTTGCAGGATCCAACTTTCACTTGAAGGAGATCATGTTTGTCTTATTTAGACCACTTAGTTGCTTTTTATAATTGTTTGGTATACTGTTTTGCAAGTTCCACTTCAAAAATAGCAAGACAGTGGAGTGTATGTGTGTGTGTGTAATAAATCTATTGAAGAATATATAGGTAAAGTTTTGATTTCTTTTAAAGGTAATGCAAGTCCCCGCTACATAAGATGTACTTCTTATAATATTCCCTGCACTTCTGATATGGCTAAACAATCTCAAGTTCCTCTTGCTGCAGTCATAAAACCGTTGGCTGCACTTCCCGCAGAAGAGGTAAGATTGATAGCCTGAATCATCAGATAAAATAGCAACATTATTACAAGATCATGGACCCTGGGCAAAGAAAATCCTCTCTGGAGGTTTTTGTTTACCCAGTGAGTTCCTCCATCCCAAGAGTTAACTTTGATGCTTCACTCTACAGAAAAAAGAAATTACTCTGGACATAAATACTAGAGCCAGATGCAGAAAATGCACTCTTAGTATCATGTATTGGAAAAGAAAGGAGGAGTGTAAATAGCACTGATATCCAGTGTTTTTTCTTTCCAGGCCCCTCCTTATTTGGTTGACCATGGAGAATCAGGTCCCATTCGTTGCAACAGGTGCAAGGCGTACATGTGCCCTTTTATGCAGTTCATTGAGGGAGGAAGACGATTCCAGTGCTGCTTCTGTAGCTGCGTTACTGAGGGTAAGAGCTTCCTATGAAAAGAGGCCTTGTAGAGCAGGGGTCTCCAATCCTGGCAACTTTAAGCCTAGCGGACTTCAACTCCCAGAATTCTGGGAGTTGAAGGTCACCAGGCTTAAAGTTGCCATGGTTGGAGACCCCTGTTGTAGAAGGTGAGGATAGTTTGCTGCCAAGCAGGAATTTCATCTGGGAAATCGTCATGGGAAAATCCAAGAACAGATTTATATTTAAATGATGAAAACTATACATCATCCTTTGTTCCTAAATTTTGGGCAGTTGCTTACAATTGGCTTATTGAGGAATCTGCCTTTATTGAAATGAAACATACAATATGCAGAAAGTCTTATTTTTAAAAACGCATATTCAGGTTTATCTCAAAAAAAAATGAGAAAGTAGAGCGTAGCTGATCACACTAAGCGTTTCCGCTATTCTCTTAACACTTGTGCAAAGATTGTAATGCAAGAACAATAAATACAAAATAAAAGGCAATATGTTTGCATTTTTTGTTGGAAGGTATTGCCACCTGGAAATTAAATTTTAATGACATAGGAAAATTACTATTGATTACTGATTGGCTGCAGGGTCTATTAAAATATCTTAGAATGTAGGTAGCAAACCCACTCAGGAATATAAAATTTGATCTATAGCCCTATCTATGAAAATAAAACATCCAAAATCCATAAGTGGGTGATATCTTTATAAGGACCAACAAGTAGCTCAAAGAATGTTCCAAGTTCTTCGGAATGATGTCACAAAACATACAGCTAGGGAAGGTGCAGATACAGAAGTCAGATGTTCCAGCTATAAAGCCTTCAATTCAAAGGCAGTCTCAAGGGAGAGAAGATGGACTCAGTACATTGTAAAAGGACATTGTTGTCAACTTACATGAAGCATTTATAAAGGCTAAAAACTTGCTCCCCTTGCTCTGAACTCTGAAGAGCCATCTTCACAGTTGAAACTCACAGATTCCTGGTCTGACAGGGAGAAGAAATAAAATAAGCAGAAAAAAATTTACTCCCTTCTTTTTTCCCCCAGTGCCATCTCATTACTTCCAGCATTTGGATCACACAGGCAGGCGAGTGGACTACTATGACAGACCTGAATTATCACTGGGCTCCTATGAATACCTAGCTACTGTTGACTACTGCAAGGTATCTCTACTTGTATTTATTATTTATTTTATTTACAGTGAGAGACCAGTAGGCTAAATGACAAATTCTTGGGGAAAGTCTACATTCAGTGCTTTTCAGTTGGTGTCAGAGCACAAACAAGTAGGCAGGAATTATATAGATTTCGTTAATCCTGACTATTGGAAAATGACAGAATATTTAGCCCTGGATTAAGTTAAATTCATTGGTTAAGGTGGACAGGGGGACACACTCTGGACTTGATTTTCATCTCTGGTCAGTGGTTGAATGATCTTGGTAGAGGGGACTTAGACATCAAACCCTTGTCATGGACAGATCATTCCCTCCTTCACTTGGACTTAAGCCGCTTCCCCCCACCGCAGGGAGACGGAACCGACCAGATGGTTCCGTCCCAGGCGCCTGATGGACCCTGAAAGGTTCCTGATGGAGCTTGGGCCGTTTCCTGAGACCCTGGCACATGACTTGACCAAAGACCTGGTGGCCGCCTGGGATAGTGCGGCCGCCGGAGCTTTGATCGCGTCGTGCCTTTGCGGCCTCTGACCCGATGCCGATCTCAATTGGCTCCTTGGTTCTCCGAGGAGCTGAGAGAGATGAAGCGTCGGAAAAGATGCCTAGAGAGCGTCTGGAGGACTAGTCAATCCAAATCTGACCGGACACAGGTGGGGTCTTATATCAAGACTTACCTAGTGGCGATAAAAGCGGCAAAATCTAACTATTTTTCCGCTCTTATCGCATCTGCAGAGAACCGCCCAGCCGCTCTGTTTAGGGTGACCCACTCCCTTCTTTGGCGGGGAATGCGGGAAGATCCCTTGCAGGGTCGAGCTGAGGATTTTGTGCAATTCCTGCATGATAAAGTCGCTCAGATTTGGGAAGGCTTGGACTCCGACTGGGTGAGTCCAGGGAGGGAGACGGGGATTGGTCTTGAGAATGTTATCTGGGAAGAGTTTGACCCTGTGACTCCCGGGGACGTGGACAGGATTCTGGGAAGGATTCTGGGAAGGCTTAGTGCTTATTGGACCCATGTCCCTCCTGGTTGGTACTGGCCTCCCGGGAGGTTACACGAGGCTGGCTCCAGGGGATTATAAATGCTTCTTTGAATGAGGGTGCCTTTCCCGCCGCCTTGAAAGAGCCGGTGGTGAGGCCCCTCCTCAAGCCATCCCTGGACCCGGCTGTATTAGCAAACTATCGTCCGGTCTCCGATCTTCGTTTTGTAGCAAAGGTTGTTGAAAGTGTGGTGGCACGACAGCTACCCCAGTACCTGGAGGAAGCTGTCGATCTAGACCCTTACCAGTCGGGCTTCAGGCAGGGGTACAGCATGGAAACGGCATTGGTCGCATTGGTTGATGATCTCTGGAGGGCTCGGGACAGGGGTTGCTCCTCTGTCCTGGTCCTATTAGATCTCTCAGCAGCTTTTGATACCATCGACCATGGTATCATGCTGCAGCGGTTGAGGGGGTTAGGAATAGGGGGCACCGTTTTGCGGTGGTTCTCCTCCTTCCTCTCCGACCATTCACAGTTTGTGTTGGCAGGGGGGCAGAGGCCGACCTCGAGGCGCCTTGCTTGGGGGGTGCCGCAGGGGTTGGTCCTCTCGCCCCTTCTGTTCAACATTTATGTGAAGTCGCTGGGTGAGATCATCCGTGGTTTTGGGGTGAGAGTCCACCAGTACGCTGATGACACTTAGCTGTACATCTCTACCCCAGACCACCCCAATGATGCCCTTGATGTGATGTTCCACTGCCTGGAGGCCGTGCGGGTCTGGATGGGGAGAAACTTCAACCCTTCCAAGACTGAGTGGCTGTGGCTTCCAGCGTCCCGGTATAGTCAGCTGGTGCCATCGCTGACTATTGGGGGTGAATCTTTGCCCCCCACAGAGAGGGCTCGCAATCTGGGTGTCCTCCTGGATGCACGGCTGTCTTTAGAAAAGCACATGACGGCTGTGGCCAGGGGGGCTTTTTATCAGGTTCACCTGATCCGCCAGTTGCGTCCCTTTCTAGATCGGGACGCCCTACGCACGGTCACTCATGCCCTTGTCACCTCCCGGCTGGACTACTGTAATGCTCTCTACATGGGGCTCCCCTTGAAGAGCTCTCGGAGGCTCCAACTGGTCCAGAATGCGGCTGCGCGAGTGGTTATGGGCGCAACTCGTTGCGCCCATGTAACACCCCTCCTGCGTGAGCTGCACTGGCTCCCAGTGGTCTTCCGGGTGCAATTCAAGATGTTGGTTACCACCTTTAAAGCGCTCCATGGCATAGGACCAGGGTATTTACGGAACCACCTTCTGCCACCAATAGCCTCCCACCGACCAGTTCGCTCCCAGAGAGAGGGACTCCTCAGGGTGCTGTTGGCCAAATTATGCCGGCTGGTGATACCCAGGAGGAGAGTCTTCTCAATGGGAGCTCCTGCCCTTTGGAACGAACTGCCCCTGGAAATACGTACAATCTCTAACCTCCGGGTTTTTCGCTGTGCCCTTAAGACCCTACTGTTCTGACAGGCGGGGCTGTCTATCTAAGTGGTTTTTAAATTGGAGTTTTAACTTGGGGTTTTAAATTTTGGCTGTAACTGTTTAATTAATTTTAATTACTTTTAATGATGTCTTATATTTATGTTTTTAAATTGGCTGTACACCGCCCCAAGTCCTTTGGGAGAAGGGCGGTATATAAATAACATTAACATTAACTCTGAACAATATAAATATCTTCTTGTTGGACTTTTTGTAGGCTGATTAAGCTGTCAATTACTAATGAACTCTTCCTTTATTTCTGGGTTGTGTCCAACATTCCTTTTGTACTTTTTCAACCTTGCCACCACTTCTCACTATTGGTTTTCCAGTGCTGCACTCAAGTTAAATGGGCAGAGAGACCATCCATCATTAATATTAATTATGATATAAGTAATTGTCTTTAAGGTTTAAGGAGCCACAGATCCGTTCAGAGAGGCTAATTTTAATTAAATTACTGTAAATCTCAGTAGAAACTAGTTCAGGTTCCAGACACAAGAGAACCAGCTACAACATGCCAAGAAACACAAAGGATTGCTCTGATGAATTTGAATTAGCCCTTATGGGGGTCGGAGGGGGCTTATTTTTATAAAATTAGATTTGCAGAATCTAGAGGCCAGCACCTTAAATAAAAGGGCTGTCAGGATAAAATGCAGTGTTTCTCTACTTTGGTAATTTTAAGATGGGTGGACTTCAACTCCCAGAATTCTCCTGGCCATCATATGGGGGAATTCTGAGAGTTGGTTCACAATATGCTAAAGTTGCCAAAGTTGATAAATGCTGATATAATGCTAATAGTCAGTACTGGAAAACTGTAAGAATTGCATTTGCAGTTTCTTTTAGTCCAGGCAGAAATACTGTTAAAGCTTGTTTCTTTCAAGACATACGATGATGGGAAAATGACTCAGTACTGTGCAATGAATAATTGTGCTTGTGTTCCTTTCTTGCAGAATAACAAATATCCCAACCCTCCTGCTTTTATTTTCATGATTGATGTGTCATATAATGCAGTACGGAGTGGCTTGGTCAGGCTGATATGTGAAGAACTGAAGACTCTCCTGGATTACCTCCCCAGGTACCTGCTGACATAAGATAGTGGTCCTAGTGAACTAATTTTTAATAATAAACTTTGATTATAATCAACCTATTTCAGTGAAACAGTCCAATCAGTCAATTAAGTATCCTATAAAATTAGAGGACTTCCCAGCTGCATTCTCAAACTTGGGATTTGGTCAGTAGATATTAGGGTACAATCATCTGTTGATGCTGTTATCTTTCTGCTTTTCAGTTTGATTTTGCAAGCCCATTTTATGCTATATTTCAGAGATCTCCAAACTTGGCAACTTTAAGCTTTGCTGTCTGAGGAACTCTGGGACTTGAAGTCCACAAGTCTTAAAGTTGCCAAGGTTTGAGACCCCTGCTATATTTATCATCTTTTTTTAACAGAGAAGGAACTACGGAAGAATCAGCCATCCGGGTGGGTTTTGTCACGTACAACAAAGTTCTGCACTTCTATAATGTCAAGAGCTCCCTGGCACAGCCGCAAATGATGGTAGTTTCGGATATAGCAGATATGTTTGTACCTTTGCTTGATGGCTTTCTTGTGAAAGTGAATGAGTCTCGAACAGTTTTTACCAGGTAAGCAAAACTCAATCTATGCTATGAGCATTAGCAAATTGATGCAGGTAATTCCTGATTTATGACCACAATTGTGACCAGAATTCTATTGCTAAGAAAGTCAGTTGCTAAGTGAATCACACACTTTTTAACAAACTTTTAGTCATGGTCGTTAAGCAGATCACTGCATTTGTTAAGTGACAATGCAGTCATAAGTAAATTCAGCTTCCCTGATTGACTTTGCTTATCAGAGGCTGGCATCACCAGAGGCTGGTGATCATGTGACCCCAGGACAGTGAAACTCTCATAAATACATGCCTGTTGTAAACGTCCCCAAATTTTGATCACATGACCATGGGAAAACTGCAACAGTTGCAAATGCAAGAACCAGTCATAAGTCACTTTTTCCAGCGCCATTGTAACTTTGAACGGTTGCTAAGCAATGGTTGTAAGTTGAGGACTACCTGTACATTCTGTTATATATCTTCTCATTGTTCTTAGTAACCTGAAAGTGCCAGGCTTTTAATGAGTTCTAGGCCATCTCAGGCAAGGTAAGCAATCATTAGAATGAGCATTGCCATCACAAAAAGGCTTTCGTGAGGAAGCGTGGCCATGGGGTACTGCAAACAACCGTAAAGGTGAGCCTGTTGCCAAGCACCCAAAATGTGATCACATGACCATGTGGTGCAGCCATTTTAAGTTTAGAAACAGGTCATAAATAGCTCTGGGGAAATCTGTCATAACATAAGAAGGGAAGGACTATCTGGAACACATATAACTGGAAATGCTGAAAATATCAAACATTGCTTTGTTGTTTTTAACTGTTAAGATACAAATTACTATAGGTAATTTGAATTAATTTCTTGTCCTTCAAACCACATTGCAATGTACAACATTGTTCCTGAACATTCAAATATGCTTGCTGAGTTGATTTAATCAATCAATCAATCAATCTTTATTGCACAGTGCACAGATCTGCACAAAAAATTAAACATTAAAATAAAATAAAGCAAAACGACATAACTGAACAGATCGGAGCATAGTAATATATTACCATTGATGATGAAATCATCAGTGGGCGATCAAGGTTTGCCTAATTTTACAGACAATGTAACAAAACTTTACTATGTATGAATCATACTGATTTGACAATATTAGCTGTACATAAAAGAGATCAGAATTTCCAAGATATTTAACCATGTAATTATTATAAGATGAGTTTGTGACTCCCTATAGAGGGGGCAGAATTGACGCTCCCAGTTCTTCCACCCACAAGGAATAGGCATTCTTCTAGAATGTGCTGTCATTTTCTCTCCAGGTTTAAGAATCACACTCATTTTGAGTGTGGGGTTTTTTTTTATTAAGTTTTTGCTAGAAATATGACCATTTTGTTGTTGTTCACATTTGCTGCGCTAGTGCCTTCTGATTTGTTAAATCAGTTGTTTTCAACTGAATTAACAGGAAGGGATATAAGCATTTTGCATAAAGTGGACTGTTTCGCTGGTTATTAGAACTATAGAAAAAGTGACTACTCTGTTAACTTGAAGTTGGATAGGATTGAGAGAGAAAAACATGAATTTATTCTTAAAATTAAAGGCATCTTTAGTGTTATCCCATTAAGCAAAAGTAAATAATCTCTGAATTGGAAGAGGAGGAAGAGAGCAATCGTGGGAAAGTACTGCTGCTTTTGATCAGTTCCTGCTTATACACTCTGAGTTGTTTAATTATTTCCATGCTTGTTTTTTACCCTGCTTTATAGTAGGAAGTTTTTTGATAGACCAAAAGTGCAAATTTAAATACTGAAGTGATGGCCTTCTACCCTGTAAATCAAAATTAGGCAGATACAAAAAATATAATAAACTTGACTTACTCCAGGAATAGGGCAGCGTGGTGGCTGACAGTTAAGATGCTGGATTTGTTGACTGGAAAACCAGCAGTCTGGGTTCAAGACCCGAGCCCCACATGACGTGGTGAGCTCCTGTCCTTGCTTCAGCTTCTGCCAAACTAGCATACAGGTGCAAGTAGATAAATAGGTACTACTTTGGTAGGAAGGTAACAGCACTCAGTGATGTCATGGAAATGTCTTTGGATAGCGCTGGCTTAATAGAAACGGAGATGAGCACAATCTCCTATAGTCAGCAACAACTAGTGGAGTAAAATCCACAAGGACTCTTTTACCTTACTCCCAAAATACAGTAGATGGGTTTTTCCCTCCAGAAGTTCTAATTGGCTTGAATAAAGCATCTATGCTAATTGATAAGAAATAACTTGAACACTGATGCTAGAGATTTGCCTAAACTTTGACTTTGATTTTCATCATTTTGCAGCCTGTTGGATCAGATCCCAGAAATGTTTGCTGATACAAGAGAAACAGAAACAGTGTTTGCTCCAGTGATTCAGGCTGGCATGGAAGCTCTAAAGGTTAGTTTTTATGCTCCTCAGCACCTTAATTTGACTTGATTTTTCTCAGTCTCTTCCTTTTTTTGAGTATTCTGTAAACTTCTCAAGACAGCAGCACTCTATATCAAGTGCTGAATCCAGTTTATTTATTATATGGTAACTGAACCATATAGAATTTTATATAATTCTAGGTAGTACTTATCAGGCAGAAAAATCTGTAATGTGAATGCAGAGGATCTTGAGCAATATGGATAAAATGTTAAGCACTTCACATAAATTGATATTTGGATTTTTAAAATTATTTTTTTGCAACATGTTGGGAATAAGATCAGTATGTAAGTGCCAGTTGTAAAAGATGGATCACTTGAAAAGCTACATTTGCTTTTCATTGAAAAGCCTTTTACATTTTAATATAAATGATGGCGTGGAGAAGGGCTCTTAAGGACCAAAGAGTCTCAAATGGTCACTTCAAGGACCCTGCCATGTTTGTTTACAGGCTGCAGACTGTGCTGGCAAGCTTTTCATATTTCACACATCGCTGCCTATAGCAGAGGCTCCAGGAAAGCTGAAGAACAGAGATGACAAGAAACTGATGAATACTGATAAAGAAAAGGTAAATGATTATATTCCAACAGAAGTAGGCTAAGGGAGGAAGTCTGATTATGATTTCTTATGTCTCCTTAATTGCTTTGTGCCTTTTGCCGCCCCCCCCCCGCCCCCTTCCAACTCTTCCCATTGCAATGATCTGTCCATCATCCCAACCTGAACCAGGTTTGTTGGTTTATTTAGAAATTGCTCATCTCCCTCACAGAAGGAATCTGGGTGGTTTACAAACGAATGAAAAACATAAAATCTGAATATAAGAATATTAAAATGCGGGCAAGGATAGGTAAAATTGAATATTATATAATGAAAAAGACGGGGAGGGTCTTCAGATTGCTAGTGTTCCTCTGTGAGCCTCAAATGAGATGGCAGCCCAGGAAGGCCAGGAGAGCCTCCTTACCTTCCTTAGCTCAGGGTTGAGGGGAGGAACAGGATTCCAAAGGGAACCAGCAGAGAAGGCTCCCTTCTTGGAAATCTTCACTGATTAAAGCCCCTCACCACAACAGACAGAAAAACAAAATTTGCTGAATGAAATTCCTGAGATAGGAAAATCTTAGAACTTTTTCTTCCTTCAGCTGTCATAGCCAAATAAAGAAACCCAGTCATATATAAATCATGGATTGAACACCAAAGAAGAGAAATTGTAACATAAACATTCAGAAGACTTAATTGTCATAGCAAATATATGCATCCTTTTGAACTGCAGTCCTTTGAATATCAGGTTGCGTTCTGCTCTTTGAAAGCCCATCTGGTTCCTTTTTTCAATCATTTTCTTCTTTATTGTGTTTTCAGCAAATAATCTATTTGCCCAAGACCTGAGCTTAGTAAATCAGTGAGAAGCAGTTTGAAACATAATATTTTATTCATATTTCAGTGCTGTTTTTAAACTGTATTTTTTTCTGAAAGAGTATCCAGGTATGATTAAAATAAATAATAAATTACTATTTTGATGGTATTTCCACTGTAACTTCCCTCTTCCATTTTTTTGCCTAGAGATCATTCTACGTAAGTCTTTTCAGAAAAAAAAAGAAAGAAATGCTAAGCTTTTCTTATTGGAAGATAATTGTGGGTTCCTTATCCATTAAAGCAACAAAAATTCTGGAAGAAAAAACTGTATTAGAAAAAATTAAATCGTTTTGCAAAGTTTTCTTAAGAAATTTCTAAAAATGATTTGTGAGATTGTTGATGCAAGTTGTAATTCAACCAACAAATATGGTAATTTTGAAATATGAGGCTCTATTTATTTTTGTATACCACCTTTATTATTTTTACACATAATCCATTCAAACATATCCAACACACCTTCCTCCTCTTACTTTCCCCACAACAACAACCCTGTGAGGTGGATTGAGTGACTGGCCCAAGGTCACCCAACCAGCTTTCATGCCTAAGGCGAGACTAGAACTCCCAATCTCCCACTTTCTAGCTTGACGCCTTTTAACCACTAGATCACCTGGCTTTTATAGGCAGGAAATAACATATTACCTAATTGGTTTTACTTTTATTTTTGCTCACATGTTTAGGACAAAGGAGATAATTCTAAGATGGGATTTTCCAAATTGCTCAATATTTATCCTGTTTTCTGTTTACCCTTTTTATCTGCTTTAGACTCTGTTTCAGCCTCAAACGAATTTCTACAACAACTTAGCCAAGGATTGTGTGGCCCAAGGCTGCTGTGTGGACCTTTTCCTTTTCCCAAATCAGTATTTGGATGTAGCTACCTTGGGGGTTGTTCCATATCAGACTGGTGGCTCCATTTATAAATACACATATTTTCAGGTATGATTTGTCTTGGCTTTAACATCTGTTCATTTATATTACTTTATGGCTGCAATTATGGTCTCAAAGGAGAGAGGGCAAGTAATAAAACTACCATATTTTTCGGAGTATAAGATGCACCTTTTTCCCCCCTAAAAGGAGGTGAAAATTTATACTTATACACCGAATGTAGCCCCGCCCACCCACTGGCCCACACCCTTTGGTCTCTACCTCACAGCAGTTACCTATTTGCAAGCAAACAGCAAGAAAAAAGCTTTCAGCTTCAGCACAGGCTAATTAGTACAAGTTGATTCCATCGGCCTCCCGACTCTCAGCTGATTTGCTCTCACCTGTTTTGCGCAGGGCTCTGCTGCTTGCTGCAAAGAGGTAAATTGCTGGAGCAGAGTTTTTTTTCCTTGTGCTAATCAAGCTATGCTAAAAACGAAAATGAAAGTAAAGCAGGCTGTTTGCTGTTTGCTGCAACAAGGCAAAATTGCTCAGAGACAGAGGCAGATTTATTTTTCTTCTTTTTCTCACCAAAAAAGATAGGTGCGTCTTATACTCCGGTGCGTCTTATACTCCGAAAAATATGGTATTTCAGGAGCCAGGTAGAATCAGTACTAGCTCAAGTTAGTTCAATAGGAGATCGGTATACACTTGGCTTCTACATAAGTTTAAAAAGTAAAGAACGGTGAAGTTGATTATTCTTCACAGCATAATTTTGAATTGTTCAGGTGGATTTCTGTGGTTTAGGCACCTTGCAGTGAAAAAATAAACGTTCTGGACTTGTAGACTACAGTGTATATTGCAGATGATACTTTTTTAAAGAGTTTCTAAGTGATTTAGAGTTTAGATCCTACATAAACTGGATGTACAAGACAGTGGTCTTAGTTGGAGTGCTATTCAGGGTCTGTTACAAATCACCTGTGTGTCAACCATGTGACATGTTGATTGTGTATTTTAGGTGGAAACAGATCAGGAACGCTTCTTGAATGATTTACGTAAAGATGTTCAAAAAGAAATTGGATTTGATGCTGTGATGAGAGTACGTACTAGCACAGGTAAGCACATATCTATATATCAAAAACATACATCTAATCAGTAAATACTGAATCAGCCCCTTGAAGTGATCCAGACAAGAAACACCAATTCTGAATACTAATACTACCTTTATTGTAAAGTGACAGGAACAGAATTTTGCAAGTACCTCTCACCTCCCTTACTTTTGCTCTTCTGAAAAATAGGGAAGGTCCCTTCTGAGATGCTTTCTCTACCGTCCCCCTCACACCTCCTTCAGTCTCAGATTTCATTTTTCAGACCATTGCCTAGGCTCTGTCTCTTCCTCCTGTCATTCCCAAGGTCATTCCCACATACCATTACAGTGAATGAGAACACCTAAGGTTTAACTGCAGACTTTGCAGACTTTCCCTATAGTGGTCCTGCCGCTCACCTTTGCTTAAATTCTGGACTGACTTAAGTCTATAAATCAAGTTAAGTTAAAAGATAAGATAACCTTTATTGTCATTTTTCTGTCAAACTGAGTGGAGGAATTAGCATTCTCTGTGACTAGATACAATAAAATCCTTTATCAGCCTTTCAAAACATTCCATAATTATGGACGTAAGTGCAACCTAAAGATAATCATTAAGGCCCATAAACTTCTTAGGCACTGGCAAAACAATTGCAGTCTTAAAATAGGAAGGCCTGCTGCAATGAAAGATTGAAAATATCTGTAAGAACACAAGCCAAGTCATCTGCACACTCCCTAAGAACTCGCCCAGGGATATTATCTGGGCCTGCCACTTTCCAAATGTTAACTTTCCTCAATGTCCTCCAGACAGAGGTAACATCAAAGCCAAGCACTTGCTCATCAGTGCTTAGGAGCATACCTTTCCTTGCAGGGGTACTATCTGATGCCTCGAATCGTCCCAAAAATTTGTTCAGTGAGAATTGCTGAATTCTCCACCATCCTAAGCCCAAGATTGACTTCAATGTGATATGCAAACCCAGTCCTTAAAAGATTTCATCTTGGATAAGGTTTTTTTTGTTCGTTCTCTAGGTATTCGAGCAACAGACTTCTTTGGAGCTTTCTGTATGAGCAATACAACAGATGTGGAATTAGCAGGCTTAGACTGTGACAAAACAATCACTGTGGAATTTAAACATGATGACAAGCTAAGAGAAGAAAGTGGGGCCTTGCTTCAGGTAATTCCTGTGTAAGGGATGCTGTTGGGTATGCAGGCAGTGGTTCTTGGGGAGGATATCTTCTTTTGTATAGTCGAATGGCAATCAACTTTATTTAGCACAGAATTCACACTTTTTCTTGGTGGACAGTGTGAAAGGATAACAATGATCCATTCAGTGGGTAAGTTTAAGATCTTAGGCTCTCTTTTTCCTGGTTCTATGCCCTCCCACTATGCCTCTACACTGAGAGCATATGCACCAAAGACAAATTCCTTGTGTGTCCAATCACACTTGCCCAATAAAGAATTGAATTGAATTGAATTGAATTGAATTGAATTGAATTGAATTGAATTGAATTGAGAGTTCAATCCAGGGGCATCTAATGTTTGTTCATAAAAGCAGTACTATCCATAGAAAGTAATGGGAAGCTAGGAGTTGACTGAAATCTTTGATGTACACATTTTAACAGTTCTGTTTATAAATCTTTCTCATGTAGTGTGCTGTATTATATACCAGTTGTGCAGGACAGAGGCGTCTGCGCATTCACAATCTCTCCCTGAACTGCTGCACACAGCTGGCTGATCTTTATAGGAACTGTGAGACAGACACACTTATCAACTTTTTGGCTAAATTTGGTAAGGACAATCTTGTAATTGTTTCATAGGAGGGAAACCTTGTTTTTTTGAGAGCACAAAAAGCTTTTAGTGGCAGGCTGCAAGAACAAAACTTCCTGGATTCTTCCAGTGCTGCAGATAGAGTTGTAAATAAATAATTGATTTTAAGAGATAAGAGAGCACACTGGCAGTGAACATCAGTGTGAAAATAACTGGTTGCCCTTATTATTTTATCGATTTATTTATTTATTTATTATAAAATTTATTTGCTGCCTATTTCGTATCCAATGACTCAATATTAATAATTTCCTTTAACAGATGAATAGCTTAGCTAACTGCTTTTCTAATCAGGAACTTTTTTTTCCTGAAGCATATCGTGGAGTACTGAACAATCCAGTCAAAACCGTGAGAGATACATTGATCAATCAGTGTGCCCAGATCTTAGCATGCTATCGAAAAAACTGTGCTAGCCCTTCTTCTGCTGGACAGGTAACTCCTACAACTTGGTGATGGATACTAATCCTGAATCAGGGCACTGAGATTGGCCCTACGTCATGTCAGTTGTTAAGCAGTTCATCACATGACTGCACCTAATTTTATAATCTTTTTTATGAAAGTTGTTAATTGAATCACCATGGTCATTAAGCAAAAGCCAGTTATAAAGAGAACATGGCAGTTTTTAAGCAAATCTACAATGAGTTTTATTTTGCCAGAAACCAAAAATAAATGCCCCGTTTTTGGCAAAAAAAAAAAAAAAAAAGTAAAAAAATCATGGTCAAATGACCACAGGACGCAGCAAACAACCGTAAATGCAGGCGAGTTGCTGAGCACTCAAAATGCAGATGTTATCGGCTGTTATCAAGGGGGTGGGGCTAGCCATTAAAACTTCAAATAAGTAGCTTTGGGGAGGAGATCTGTCAGAATTTCAAACAGTCACTAAGTGTCCAGTTGTAAGTTGAGGACTACCTGAATATATTGTTTAATCAACAAAAGTCCTTATGATATTCTGGTTTCTCCTGCAGTGGTACATACAAACACTTAGGACAGTATTCATATCATATTGCATTTGATCATTGTATTTATGTCCCATTTTTCCTACAGAAGCTCAAGGTAGGGTAAACAGCATTCCCTTCCCCACTTTTTCTACTAACGCTAACTCTATGTAGGAAAGAGAGCAGCAGAGCCAGGAGGAGGAATTAAATGAAGGATTAGTTTAGAGACCCTAGCAACCACCCTGGAATGCTGTTAAACTTTATCTAGCTTACCCAAGTGCTGAGTCTGAGAAGATTCCTGTGCATAGGATTTAGCAGGAAACAGTAATTTGGAACTACTGTGTGTAGATCAGAGGGGGGGGGGGGGGTTTTTTTTTTTTTTTTTTTTTTTTTTGCCTGGCACTCTTAACACTGGTGGTGGGTTGGGCTGAAGCAGAATGATTGGCCCTGGCTGAAGGTCTTTTCAGAGCCAGTCTAATACCTTAATCATTACACCATGCAGATTCTCAATTACGGAAATATTTGAAAAAGTGTTCATACATGGATGGGTTTTAATAAAGCATGGTTTGCGGCCATTGCCTGTTTGTTTTGCACAGCCTACTCACCATGCAAGCATTAAATTGCAGAAAACAGTAATTCAGAAATACCCAAAGCATACATTTCCACAGTTGTATCTCCCCAATTACCAAAGCTGGAACTGTAAGGGGTATTCTCATAGTAGTTGAAAGTGCTTGTCTGTGGTTGGAATATTGTATGGTTCAAGAGAGCTGATTTAGTTAAGGCATCAGAATAGAAAACAGGGGACTCTGAATTCTAGTTGTTAAGTTAATCACACAGCTGTTAAGTGAATCTGGCTTCCCCATTGACTTTGCTTGTCAGAAGGTTGAAAAATCTGATCACATCACCCCGGGACATTGCAACTGTCATAAATATGAACCAGTTGCAAGCATCCAAATTTTGATCACGTGATCATGGGGATGTTGCTATAATCATAAGTGTGAAAAATGGTCATAAGTCACTTTTTTCAGTGCCATTGTAACTGAGAATGGTTGCTAAAATGAATGGTTATAAGTGGAGGACTCTGTATCTAAATACAGACTTATGAAATAGTTGCAGTCTCAGATAAATTGCAAGGCTAGAATTTAATTGAATATTATCTTTTTTTTTTTTTCATTGAAGCCAAAATGAGTGGTGAGGATGAATTTGTACAAAACTAAAACTAATATACTGACGTTTTCCTGCCCTAAGAATGATTTTTTAAAATTTCTTGTCACTTTTAGCTGATTCTTCCTGAATGCATGAAACTTCTCCCTGTATATTTGAACTGTGTTTTGAAAAGTGATGTGCTCCAGCCTGGGTCCGAGGTCACCACTGATGATCGCTCCTACATCCGCCAGCTAATCAGCTCTATGGATGTTGCAGAAACTCATGTTTTCTTTTATCCTAGACTGTTACCACTGGTGAGTACTTCTAAATATAGATGGGTTTTAATTGTCTAAGTCTGAAGTATAGACTCAACTAAAAATTAATGTAATTAAATAGGACTTTTGTTTGGTAGGGTAGTACACATGTGGGAAAATTGCTGTTTACTGTTTCTGTTATTTTGGAAATTTCTCATTCAAATTATTTGCCAAATGGCAGAATATACTATTTCCCTAGTTGGCAACTTGACCTCACCTATGATGAATATTCTTGAAAAAAGATTTTAAACTAACATTTGACATTCACAGAGGAGCATCAAAATTTAAAATACTGAAAAACATGGTCCACAAAGAGGCTGATGACATTTTTATGCTAATATTTCTTTATAGATTTGTTATATAGGCAGCACAAGTTGTTCTATGACAACATTCTTTTTTAAAAAAAACACAAAACATTTTATGTAGTATAATTATACCAAAATGTAAATTATACTTGATTGGCATTTAATATAAATTTAAATGAATGCCTCATGATGTAGTTCTAAATAATATTTCCTTAGAGAGTACCATCATGAGATAAACTGGAGTCCGGAGTTAAGAAAATTAGAATTACACATATCCCTTGGAATATATTATATAGTCAAATAATGACAGACCTGCCCCAATCTGATCCCTTAGGAAAGAAATGGTGTTGGTTGCAGTAAAGTCAAACCAGCTCTGAATTCTGCACCTTGCAAGACACAAAAAAGGTTCACCAACAGCCCATCACGCACACATACACACACACCCATGACTAGTCCCTTTCCAATCAACCAGAACTCGCCAAGATGTTTTGAGAACACTGAGATGCTTGGGGGTAATCCACATTTTCTCAGGGTGCCTGGCCATGGGATGTTAGTACAAACAGGATCTGGCTGCCATGTCATTCCCCCCCCCCTCCCAATTTCCCATCACGTACACATACAGCTTTATTCCTTTCATCCCCCCCCCCCCCCCCCGCCGCCAGCCTTTGATGGCAGGATGCCTGTGAGGTGCCAAACCAAATCAGGCACAGCCGACAAATAATCATTTTGTGTTTTGCATCTGAATTTATGTAGAATATTCAGTGTAAAAAATAAAAAAAGTATGTGTAATGTATATTGCAAATTCTGTCCTACAGACCAAAATAGATTATAGCAGCGACTCCTTACCAATAGCGCTCAGAAACTCAGAAGAACGTCTCTCCAAGGGTGACATATACCTACTAGAAAATGGCCTGAATATATTTTTGTGGGTAGGAGTAAACGTTCAACAGGGGCTGATCCAAAACCTCTTTGGAGTCTCATCTTTCAGTCAGATCAACAGCTCTATGGTAAGTTAGGATTGGATAAAGAGAAAATTGCCTTAATTTTAAGTATATGTCATATCTGACTGTGGATATCTCCGTTTTCTAATGAATAATAACATTTTGGCAGGATCATGATCAAGGGAATGAAAAGCCAGCATTGAGGAAATATTAGACTTTACTAAGGCTCTGCTGTTCTTCTCCTTCATTTTAAATATTGTGAAACATTCAACACTGTTTCAAGCATCTTCACACTTTGTGATTAATATGATTTGTGTAATGTAACTGATGTCACCTATGTTTTTAAAATTCATTTAATAAATGATTTTAAATGGTCCCTGATCTGATACACCATAACTTTGTTACAGTGCACATTACCAGTTTTGGATAATCCCTTTTCAAAAAGAGTGCGATCCACTATTGATATATTCCAGGCTCAAAGATCACGCTACATGAAGGTAACTGGTTTTGATTTTATGATTATAACAAAAATTCAAATCAGATTTTTAATGCCTGGGAATTGTAAAAGACAATCATTTTTGATTGTCTTTTACAATTCCCAGGCATTAAAAATCTGATTTGAATGCCTTAAAAGAAACAGTAGTCGTCTTAAATGGGCTTGTGGTGGTTCAAACCTGGGCATGGATTGTTCCGTTGCTTTCACTGTCAGAATGTGGCTACATTAAATTCAGATGGCAAAAGACTTATTTGCAAATTGTGTATCTTTTTTTTTTTTTTTTTTTTTCTTTCAGTTCATCATTGTGAAGCAGGAAGACAAACTAGATCTGCTGTTCAAACACTTCTTGGTGGAAGATAAGAGCATGAATGGGGGGGCTTCATATGTGGACTTCCTCTGTCACATGCACAAAGAAATTCGCCAGTTGCTGAGCTAGAGTCAGAATGATGCTGGATGCCAGCACTTGACATCTATAAATTCACTGACTGCCTCGTAAGCGACCCTATCTCCTTTTGGAAGGACTATAGAAAAACCTGTATAATTCCATAATTTTAATATACTTCATAAAGTTTCAGCATCTCCCAAAACCTTTGAGAGAGACATGAACAATCAAAACATCTACATAGGGTGATGAAAAACACTCTTTGATTCTGGGTCCTAAACCTACGTCACTTACTAAGATTGGCAGAAATCTACTGACCCCCGAGTTCCTTTGCGTTAATGTACGTGATTCTGCATCAGAAGAAAAAGCAATTGTTCTCCAAAATTAGATGGTGATGCAAAGTTTGTGTATGTGATAGTCTTTTATGAAAAGAAAATGAGCCAAATAGGGAAAGATGGGTGGTCGGCTCTACCCAGTTGGGAAGTGGATGTCAGATAGGGTGGTAACTTCTTAAAATTTGAGGATGCAATATACTGTAATCAAATTATAAAATGGTGTCTTCTTTTTAAAAAGATCCCAAATTTTGAGCTGGGGGAAAAATTGACATGCCTTTACTCTGTAATTGTGTTGCTACACAAATTTGCCTTGAAATAAGTAAATGGAAACAAGCAGGTCCTGTCTCTAGGAAAGTCAAATCTGTCTTTGGTTGGTGTGAACTGGTATTGCCATCACTCCTTTGAGAAAAGAAGCATCTTTTTGCCAGTATCTTGTTTTGTCTCTTTTTTTTTCCTATTCACATGCTAGGTTTTAATTAAGTATCTTGAAGATGACCATGATTTCTCCTTTAAAAGAAATGTTTTTTAACAAGATGTCAAAAAGTGGCATAGAAATATGCTTGGAGATGGCTAGCTTGAGTTGTATCCACTGAAGTATCTGAGATCTCTATAGGGAAGAAATGCTCATAACGTAAAGTTCAAATCATGCCACTGATGTTCAGGCTCTTAATAGCTCCAGATAATTTTGGTCATTGGTAAAATAACAAACTGGTTCGTTAAGTGTTGGATAGTCATAACTGAATTTAGTCTTCAAGCTCAGACATAAAGTTGACCTACTTGATAGGCAATCTTTCCATTGATAAACCATTACTCTGGCTTCAAATAGGCCAAAGGAGTTCTGATAGAAAAATGAAATACATTTCACATACTCGATATAAAGGCTCATTAATTTGTAGAAGGAGATTACTTATTTTTTTAAAAAAGGCTACGCTTAGATTGTCTTGCAGTGTTCAGGATGTATTAAGAGAATAGGAACATGGAATTTTGAGAAAGGGTGGGGGGAGAGAAGGGAAGCTTTCCTAGGCAAATTGTGGGTTGAGACTGAATATTTGAAATCGAAAGTTTTATGTACATGAATGATTAAATATTCAGGGAGTACAGTTTCATATCCCATGATCTATTTTGTGTTTGTGTGTATGTGTGTGCGTGCGTGCGAGAGAGAGAGAGAAATTGCAAATATTTTGTTTGATCTATTGCAGCTTTCCCTTTCATCACATAGCGAAAAAATGTACACAATTCGCTCTCAAGGAGTTTTTCCAAAAGATTCATAAAGATTTCAGGTGTGCTTAAGATTGCCCTTCTCCTTCTTGCCAAATATATTATCCCAACCAAAATTTGGAAATTTCTGAAACAAATAAACAACATCCATCTCCAAAACAACAGTCAACAATGAAACTTCCAGAATTCTAATTTCTAGAATTTAAATTTTAAAAAGTTAAGTGTATTTTCACTTTTTTTCAATTCATCTTTTAATTTGTAAAAAATTATATAAAGATGTATTTTATGTCATTGTTAGCAAATAAATACTGATTATTTTTTCCAAGACCTGTACTTTGGAGGGGAATGAACTGGCTTGCAGGTTGACTCTACCAAGCTCCACAATGGCAAATAAACTATAATTTGCAATGGTCTACAACAATATTCTATCAGATACTTATAAACTTGTTCTTATCTGCAAAAGCATTTCATTTTCTAATCTGTGAACCTAATTTTTCATTAGTGCTTGCTGAGAAAAACTAGTGATCGTATGAAAAGGCAAAGTATGCTAGCACTATTTTGAAATACAATATCCCTTCCTAAAGCTAAATTACCTTTCTTCATGACTAAGATAATCTTACTGTAAAATTGAACTTTTATACTGTGATCTAGAATACATTATATTGAATTTCTTAAAATATATTTCTATTTTTGTGTTATTGCATATTCTTAACAGGTCTGTGTTACTGGATGGAAAGATTGTTTCTTAAAACAATTTGCACTCTCATTCAGTTTGAGATGGAAGAAATAATAGTTGTAATTTTTGTTATTCTTTCCAACCAAAAAGTGATGCAGTAATTGTAGAACACTGATATAGCTCCATGTAGGCACCAAATCATGATTACTGCAAAAAAAATGCAACATAATAGAAATTCACTCCACAAGCTTTCTTGTGGAGTGAAAACATGGAGAAGAAACAACATGGATTCCTTTGAACCATGGATGGCATGCTAATATGGGCACATAAATAAGGATCAGAGACAAGATTCCAAAAATTAACTTTATTTAAAACAAAATTTAAAAAGAAATGCAGTTAACAACTGTGGGCATTTATTTTCTATTACTGTTTGTGGGGTTGAGAGGAAGCTGGGCTGGTTGGAAGCCTGTCTAGATAATTTTTTTCTCCCCAACTCTGTAGAACGCTGTAAATCCTTCCGTCTTACATTCTTTCTATCTTAGCCGGAGAAAATGACTATTTCTTGAGCGGCCACAAAACTAGCATATATAGTTGAATTAAACCTTGTTTTCTTCTGAAACTTTTCTTCTATCCATGGTTGGCCTACCAGGGGTTGAAAACCTCAATAAATCAACGGGTATTGCACATTGGCAGTTGTGCCGCATATTTTGAGTGACAGGGAGCTGCAGCAGAGAGGTGAGTCAGTCACATGCGGCTCCAGAGCCGCAGGTTGCTGACCCCTGGGTCATTATACCTTGCAGTCATAATGCTGACTATTATGACTGCAAGGTATAGCTGGCAAATACTAGAACAAAACTTTCATTTTGATACAGGTTCTCTAAAAACTTTTGTTTTTTCTATTTAATTTCTGCCTGCCACAATTGCAAGACTTCTTGAGAATTACAGTAATAAAGACCAAAATATATATATATATATATATATATATATATATATATATATATATATATATATAATTAAAAACCACCTAAAATCATAGTTCTGATCATCTGACCTAGGCATTATTTATCATACTGTAAATCTTTTTTAAGTTCATGGACTAAGACAGATACTGCATTTTGGATCAGTTTACCGCCAATCAAGTTTTATGGTCCCATTAAAATACCTTTTGACATCATTTGGATGCTTTGGCGTAGGATTCCAAATCTGCAGTATTTTTCTACACAGAGTGGATACCGTTTATTTGAGTACAGAGTTGTAATATCCCGTAGAACAAAACAATGGTTTTGTTGTTGTTAAATCTTAAATATTTCTTAATTCTCAAATCTTAATAGTGAATAACACTTTTGTGAACAGTTGCTTTTTCCAAGAGAAAACTGGACTTTCTGGTTTTTCTTTGAAGACGTTTTCCTTCTCATCCAAGAAGCTGCTTCAGCTCTGTTTCTGTTTAAAGATGTTAGTGCTGGATTGAATTACATTATCAATATACGAAGATAATCAGATATTTTATTACGCAGAAAAGACTGCCAATCAGGATTGCACGATATGCTTTTCCCCCTGCTAACAAACTGACTCTTCGTCGACATATTGGAAAGTAAGCAAAATTTAGCTGCTCAACGTTTAAAGCTGCGCCCCCCCCCCAAAAAAAAACCCGAGCGATTTTCTGTATCTCTGACTGTTCTTGCCTTTTCCCTTAAGATTTGGGCCGGCCGGCCCAAGACTACCCAGGGCAGCGAGACAAAGGGGTTCCCGGAATCCTTGGGCCCGGCCCAGAATCGCTGCCTCGCTTGGCCGTATTTGAAGGGAGAACACCCGGACGGAGGAGCCTCCTTAGCGCCAAGAAAGAAGTGAGCGCGGAAGCCTCCCGTCCGCTTCTCCCCGCCGGGGCGGAGCGGGGAAATGTCACCCCGCCGGCGACCCGCCCCGGAGACGACGGCCGCCCCGGGGCGCGCTGAGGCGAAGCGGCCATGGCTTTCCTCCGGCTGGCCCAGCTCGCCGCTTGGTGCTGCTGCTTGGCCCCGCTGCACGCGGGAAGCGGCGGCACGGAAGTCCCCCCGGGGCCTTGGGAGGCCTCGGAGGAGTTGGGGGACGCCGACGCCGCGGCCCGTTTCTTTCAGCCGGCGCAGCTGCACGCCGGGCTGGCGGTGGCTGCCGCGCCGTCCTTCCGCGGGCCTGGGAACCGCGACCGCCGCGCCAACCGGGAGCTGCCCATCCTGTTATGGTGGAGCGGCGGCCTCTTCCCGCACTTCCCCGGCGAGACGGCGCGCATCGACTGCCCGCGGGGCTCCTGCTTGGCCACCAAGGACCGCCGCGTGCGAGCGCACCGTCGGACCCGGTCGCTGCTCTTCTACGGCACGGACTTCCGGGCCTACGAGGCCCCGCTGCCGCGGCTGCCCCACCAGACCTGGGCCCTCTTCCACGAGGAGTCGCCCATGAACAACTACCTGCTCTCGCACGGCGCCGGCATCCGCCTCTTCAACCACACCGCCACCTTCCGCCGCCAGTCCGACTTCCCGCTCAGCCTCCAGTGGCTGCCCGACCTGGCCTACCTGCGCCGCCCACCGCCGCGCGGCCTGCCCGAGAAGGACCGCCTGCGCAGCCAGGGGCTGGCCCCGCTGCTCTACCTGCAGTCGCACTGCGACGTCCCCGCCGACCGCGACCGATACGTGCGGGAGCTCATGAAGCACATCCAGGTAAGAGGGCTCCGGCCCGGGGCGGCGCTGGGCTCGGACGGGCCCCGGGGCACTTGGGGACGGGGAAGGCAGGAGCTGGAGCCCCAGCCGGCGCTGAAATCGGGAGCGCAAAGGTGGGGAAGAGGGCTGGGGGTCGATTCGCAAGAGGCGAAGACTAGCCAGGCTGTGGGGCAGGCGCGGAGCCGCCGCCGGAATTGGACTATTTTGATGCCGGCTCCAGCGTTGCCCTTAGTGCGAAGCTGCGCTCAAGGAGGGATTCGCAGGCATTCTGGTAATCTAGTGGGACTATTGCTAAAGGTCTCCCATTGAACGTTTCGTTGTTTGATAACAAAGCTAGAACAAAGTTGGTGGCATTTTATTGATTAGCTTTACCTCAACCTTTCGTTCCTTGTACTTATTTCTTCTCGCAAAAACCCTGTGAGGTTTAGGTAGCAGAAAGAGCAACGGCTTCCAGGAATTGGAAGCTGGCTCTCCCTCCAGGAACTAGGCTGACAGTTCCTAGTCCAGCACTTCAGCCACTACGCAAATTGGCATTTTAAATGCCTTTTGCTAAATAACTTGCTTACGTTTTTTTCTGTGACATTAAAAAACAGATTTACTCTAAATAGATAAAGTGGTTTTCTTTGCCAGACTACTGGCTTATAATCACTTGAGTTTGATCTCAGTGACTGGTGTCTACATGGATATGTCCATGTTTCCAAGTTACTAGGATTTCCTGGTGGTTTTCTATCCAAATATTAATTAGGTCCTGTAGATTGTTTAACCATACTACCCTGCTTTCTCACTTTTTCACCAATAATCTTTTGTTTTGGAACTCAGCAGCTTACATCTGCTTATCCTCTTTATAATCATTTATATTGTAGAAGTTATGTCTTACAATTTGCATGCAAGTCACAGTGCAACTGTGTGGTTCTGCGTAGATTAAAAGGACATTCAATAAAGTTTACTGAAATTTCCTCCCATGTGTGTGAAACCTGCTTTTGGAAATTACTTCATGTGAAAAGCATGAGATATGATATTGATACATGCTAGATAGACAGAGACATGTAGTTAGGTAAGTCTGTTAGTCGCTCTTGGTTGAGAGAATCCTGACAAGTTGCTGAATAAAGCTTGTTCGGGTTAAGCTGATGGTCTTACCAATAGTTACGGTAATCAGTTTAGCACATTTTTTGATGTTCCTATTTTGCCATTATTATATTTTGAACTTTGAGTGTCAAGTGTTGGAAGAAAAACTCCTGGGTTCGTTCCCAGGTGGGACACGCCATAGACTCTGAGAAGAAATGGATTCAGAAGCCAGCTGTCAGAAAGCGGAATTCTTGTAATGTAGGAAGGCAAGAAGCAGACACAACTCAAGTTCCTGGTTTGCAAGCAGATTTGGGAGGCAAACCCATGCCTTCTTATACTTGATTTTCCTTTGAAGCTCCTACAGTTTGATGGGTTTTGATGTGTGCCTTTGGTTGAAGCTGTCTTCATGCCATAATGGGTTAATCCTGTCCCAGGACCTTTGTCTTTCCTATCCTGGGGGTTAATCCTGTCAGGGGGCAGGAAAAAGGAAGTTCTGGTTTTGCCTTGGTGAGTTATTTTTAGCTTGGGTTTGAGTATTTTCCTGATCTGCTTTGTTATTTCTAGTAGCAGCTTTTGGTCGTCTGCCCAGACTTGCAATTATCTCCTGAGCCCTTGCCTTCCTGTCTTTACTCTGCTAAAAGAAAAGGCTGTTTTTATTTTCTGCACTGTTTCTGGGGTTCCTGGCATTGTTTTCTTTTGGGTGCACTTCCCACACAAATGTATGTTAGATAACTAGGAGAGAGTTTATCTGAGGAAGTGATTAGTTTATCTAGATGTGATTTTTCCCCCTCAGGTTATTGTCACATAACAGGTTAATGACAGGGTATTAATGAAAAAAGACAAAAACAGAATATTTAAAATTCTCTAGTTGCTTCTTCCATAGCAAAGATGCACTGAGACAGGGGGGGGAGAAGAGAAGATGGGGAAAAATGTAACAGATCATTATCATCACTATTCTAGGTAGACTCTTATGGTAGATGCCTGAACAACCAAAAACTTCCCAATATGAGATTGATGGACACTTCTACAGCCACTACAGAGGACTCTGAATTCATGAATTTTATTTCTAAATACAAATTTCACCTGGCTATGGAGAATGCCATATGTCCTGATTATATGACAGAGAAACTTTGGAGGCCAATGCATGTAGGGGCTATCCCTGTATATCGAGGTTCACCATCTGTACGAGACTGGATGCCTGCTAATCATTCCATTATTCTTATTGATGATTTTGGAAGCCCTAAAGAACTTGCAGAATATATTGATTTTTTGGACAGGAACTCAGACGAATATTTGAAATATCTAAAGTACAAGAGTCCACATGGTATTACAAACCAGTTCTTGCTTGAGAACATGAGGAAGCGTGAATGGGGGATAAATGACATGTCTCTACCTAATTATCTAAATGGATTTGAGTGCTTCGTCTGCGACCGAGAAAATGCAAGACTTAATGCAGAGAGAGACCACAAAAAAACTCATGGGAAATCACGAGCTCCAGAAGTTCATATCGCACAGACCACACACATGGGATGTCCTTTACCAGCACCTGGTTATGGCAATATTGAAGACATTCCTGATGGAGACAGGTAGTTGCATTTATTATTAAGGATATAAAGTTAATTCAGTGTTGTAATTAAATTTTATCTTTTGAGTTACTAAACTACAGAATGCATTCTTATGGTAGCTAGTGACAAAATTGCAGCATATTAGTGAAACTGGACTGGAAAGACTTGATCCGATTATATTATTAAATACATTGTACTCTAGAGCCATTTTAGGACAACCTAGTATTACACTGAATGGCTAGATTTAAATTAAATTTTAAATACAATTATTTAATTAACATTCTCACTATAAAAAAGTAAGCTTAAAGAATGGGTAGTTCTGATCATTCTCTCAATGCAGACATCAAATAGTATTGCAGACTATAGAATGTAACTATGGAATGCCAGCTTTTCAACCAATCCCAGTTTTTGTGCTTTTAATAGAAGAATATGAAGCACTTAACATGCTACAACATTTGTCTCTCACATGGCAGTCTCCACTGCAAATTTAATGGGAGGGACAATTTCATTTACTTTTGCATAATTACTGAAAAGTGGATTTTGATTTTGAAAGCAACTTCATCCATAAAGTCAGGAAAACAAAGAGGAGGAGGTTTCCTTGTCTTAAATCTGCTTCCCCTAAAATGTTGCAGTTTGCAAAACATAGGCAGGTGATTAGATGCATAATACAGTAGAGGCAACGTAACCATAAATACGTAGGATGAAACAATTACCATTATAATTATCATATTTAGTCTTACTGATCTTTACTGTATGCAAAAATGGTTTGAGATCATAGTTGTAATAGCTTATTTATAATCACTTCTACATTACCTGATCCAAATACATATATTAAAGTTGTTTACAGATTTTTCTTTCAACAAGGCTATTAATTTCTGTAGCAAATATGTGGTTTAACTTTAGAAATAAATATTTCATGAAGTTCCAGATTAATACCAAAATGTTTGGCCAAGAGCTTGGCAAGTGAGTAACAGCCTATTTCATTTTTATCTTCCCATTTAGTTGCAAAATAATGCTTTATTCTGACAAAAAAATATAAAGAATATTTTTGTTCTATATGTTTCAGCTGGAAAGAAATGTGGCTTCAAGATTACTGGCAGAGTCTTGATCAAGGAGAAGCTCTCACAGCTATGATTCATCATAATGAAACTCATCAAGGGAAGTTTTGGGATTATATGCACAAAATCTTCTTGAAAAGAACTCAGCATAACTAACCAATTAGGATTCTTTGTTATATGAACAATGGGCAGAATATGTACTCTTACCAACTTGCCTTACATGACAACTAAATGTGTTAAATCAGGCAGATACTAGACCCACCATTCAGGAATAAGACAATAACATTTTTGCCAAAATATTTTAATGAGAAATTGTTTTTATAAAATATTTTTGTTAAAAAGTAACTACTACTGCAATTCATTATATAGCCTTTTTAATTCTGTAAATAAAAGTTCTTTGTACATACTGAGAATTGAAAGTAGAATGGTGTACTAATGTTAAGGTGCTGTTCTGGGACCATGAAGTATTAGGATCAAATCAACCCTTAATGGTAGAAATTTGTTTCCTGACTTTGGATCAGTCCAGTCTCTCAGCCCAGCCTACCTCACAGGACTGCTGTTGTGGGGATAAATATGAAGGCTGTAAGCTGCCTTGGGCATCAGGAAGAGAGGTGGAATATCAGTCAAATAAATCTTTATTTATTACCTACTTTTGAGAGCCTAATTACTTAAGATTGGAAATAAATTCAATTCTTCTGCCTCCAAATTATTCAAGGAAATGTATATGGCTAAACTGGGGACCCTGAAAGAAACCTGCTTGCATGATCATGCAAATAACTATTTTCCCTTTTAATTTGAAAAGCTGCGAATGTAACATTACAACAGTTCTTGTGCTATTAGATAATCAATATGCTTTATGCATTTTTAAAGAGGTAAAAATTGCATTGGGCTTCTTTATTTAAAGGGCTTTAATAAGAGGAAAAGAGGATGAGAAAAAACAGAGTGTAAAAAAAGCCTAGAATGATTCAGAAGTGGGCTGAAACAGTGAGGTTACTAGAATCTGCTGTTGCTTTAATTCTGATACAGCTGTAATATTTTTATTCATTTTAGCTCATTAAATCAGAACAGATGTTTTAGGATGGCTCTATCTGCCAGTGGTGTCACCACATGCAAGAAGAGAGAGAGAAAAAATTCCAACACTTGGCAACTGACTCATATTTATAATGGTTACCATGTCCTGGGGTCACGTAATCCCCTTTTGCAACCACCTGACAAGCAAAGTCAATGCGAAAACCAGATTCATTTAACAACCGTTTACTAACTTAACATCTGCAGTGATTCACTTAACAACTGTGGCAAGCAAGGTCGTAACTCACTTAGCAACAGAAATTTTGGGCTCAATTATACTCGTAAATTGAGGACTATCTGTACTACTACTACAAAAAAATCAATTGCATCTCAACAAGCTTAGAGATGACGGCAACATAGCAGTCTTCCAATACATGAAGGAACATCATAGCAAAGAGAGAATACCGTAGATCTACTCTCTCTAGCACCTGATGGGTAAAAATGTAATGAAATATACGGATGACCTTAACCTTCCAAGGGGAAGAAATATGATTAGACAAGAGAGACAAGAGCCCCCGATGCTCTTCTCTCTCTTGTCTGGTCAAAGGGAGATATTTAGGAAGAACCCACCTTAACTGTTCAAACAGTTATAAGTGGTGGCAGGAAGTTTGCAAAATTCCGTTAATGTAGCCTTAAATAAAGTTGAATTAGCTCATCTAATTATGTTTTCTCTTTACATGGGAGCGCTTGACAAAACTTGGACTAAGGAGGAATTTCCTTAACATGAGAGTTATTAAACTGTGGAGCAGCCGGCCTCCTGAACTCATGAATACTCCATCACAGAAGTTTTCAAGAAAAGATTGGGCAGGCCTTTGTCCAGGATGGTATGACGATTCCTGCTCTGGGAAGGGAACTGGCTAGAAGACCTCCAAGGTCCCTCTCAATCCTGATTCTATGTTTTGGTTTTGAAACTTACTTCACTGCACAAAAAACAGGATAATCCAAAAATAGTGGGAAATCTGGAAGAATAACAAAGGTGAGAGCTAGAAAAAGGGAATTAACTTGTTATCTGCAAGGTGGAGTTTTAGGAGAACTGTGACTAATTTTTGCTAAGACTTGGTATATAATATCCAGAGCTTAACATTCACTGCTATTATTTATATAATTTATTTAAACATAAAGGTCAAAATGTCTGAATATTGTAACAAGTTAAAAAAAAAATGAAATTCAACCATTTTGCTTTCATATTAACATTTTACCAATGTGAGCATGAGGCACACTGCCTGGCTCCCTGTTCCTCCTGATTTTTTTTTCCAGCATGAACTGCTACCTATCCATATCTTTTTAATGTATAGACTTGTTTTTCCATGTGAAAAGCAATTATTTTAAGTACCGTTTTTTCCGGCGTATAAGACGACTTTTTAACACATGAAAATCTTCTCAAAAGTTATGGGTCGTCTTATACGCCGGGTGTCGTTCTCCTGTAACCAAGCAGACCAGCCCGAAAGGCTCTGACGAGCCTTAAATGGCTCTGGCGATCCCAGCTCTGACGATCTGCTAATCAGGCAACTCAGCTGGGATTGCCAGAGCCATGGAGAAGGAAAAAACTTTTCCCCCTCCAGCTTGCTTACCTTAGCTCAGTGGTTGGGGGTCAAACAACCCTTTCACAGGGGTCGCCTAAGACAGTGATCACCAACCGGTGGTCCTTTGGTGGTCCACGGAGAAATGTTTGTATTTTTGCATTTTTGCAGGTGGTGCAATACAGAAAAACGAGCGCAGCCCTCGCCATCCGGAATGAATGGTGCTGTTGTGGCGGTGGGGGAGGGGGCGGCAGAAGCGGGAAGAAGCGGCGTTTGCGATGGCTGGAAGCTGTGGGAGTGAAGCACTCCTTTCATTTGCACGGCAACAGCATTCCGCCTTGGTATATTTGTGCCAGCCAGTGGCGCAAGGCAGCCCTCCTCTCCTGCTGCCTGGGACTCAGAGTGGTAAATGGCGTCTGATCCGGAGAGCAGCTGGATTTTGCTCTCTAATCCGGATGCCAGATTGGCTCCCTGCAAGCTCTCGTCTCTCGAGGAGCGCTCCCTGAAGCGGGGCTGGAAACTTTGGTTGGGCTCCTTGAGAGAGGAGAGCTTGCAGGGGGGCGATCTGGTGTCTGCAATGGAGAGCAAAATCCGGCTTCTTCTCTCCGCTGTAAGAGCGGCATCAGGATTCCGCCTTGGTATATTTGCGGCACAAGGCAGCCCTCATCTCCTGATGCTTGGGACTCGGAGCGGTAAATGGTGACTGGTCCGGGGAGCAGTCGGATTTCGCTCTCCATTGCAGATGCCAGATCGGCCCCCTGCAAGCTCTCGTCTCTCGAGGAGCCTAACCAAAGTTTCCAGTGCCACTTCAGGGAGCGCTCCTCGAAAGATGAGATCTTGCAGGGGGCTGATCTGGCGTCCGCAATGGAGAGCAAAATCCAGCTGCTCCCCGGACCAGTCACCATTTACCGCTCTGAGTCCCAAGCAGCAGGAAACGAAAGCTGCCTTGCACCGCAAATATACCAAGGCAGAATCCTGATGCTGCACTTTCAGCAGAGAGATGAGGGCTGCCTTGGCCATCGGCTGGCGCAAATATACCAAGGCGAATGCTCATGCCGCACAAGTTCAAGTAGTGCTTCGCTCCCACACTTCTTCCGGCCCTCAGTCTCTCAAGGAGATGCTTGACTTCCTCTCAGCCCCAAGACACTGGCTGGCCCATGAGATGAGAGAGAGAGAGAATGAGAGAGAATCAGAATGAGACAGAGAGAGAAAGAGACAAAGAATGAAAGAGAGAATGAGAGAGAGAATCAGAATGAGACAGAGAGAGAAAGAGACAAAGAATGAGAGAGAAAGACAGAATGAAAGAGAATGAGAGAAAGACAGAATCAGAGAGAGAGAGTGAGAGAGAGAGAATGAGAGACAGAGAAAGAGACAGAATGAAAGAGAAAGAATCAGAAAGAATGAGAAAGAGAGGGGGAGAGAGAAAGAATGAGAGAGTGGGGGAGAGAGGGGGGAGAGAGAGAGAATGAGAAAGAGTGGGAGAGAAAGAGAGGGAGAGAGAGAAAAAGCAAAAATGAGAGAGAAAGAGAATGAGAGAGAAAGAGTGGGAGACAGAGAGAGACAGAGAGGAGGGAGAGTGCCTGAAGGACCCCATCCTGTACTGGGAGTCCAGGTGCTTCAGCAAGCGGCGCACTGGATTCGTATTAGTGGTCCACGAAATTTAAAATTATGAAGTTGGTGGTCCCTGAGGTCCAAAAGGTTGGGGACCCCTGGCCTAAGACCATTGGAAAACACATATTTTTGATGGTTTTAGGAATAACTTTATCGCTGGGGGTCACCACAACATGAGGAACTGTATTAAAGGGTCGCGGCATTAGGAAGGTTGAGAACCACTGCCTTAGCTGCTTGCCTTGCTTCGCTTGCCTGAATCCATTCCATCAGCAAGCAACTCCCTGCCTGCAATCAAGCAGGCAGGGAGTTGTAGACTTCAACTCCCAGAATTCCTCAGCCAGCAAAACAAAGCTGGCTGAGGAATTCTGGGAGTTGAAGTCTACAAGTCTTAAAGTTGCCAAGGTTGGAGACCCCTGTTCTATTGGGTAAGTTTTTTTCCCCTTTGGGATCTTTAAAAAAAATAGTTAATTGGGGTTTTTTTTAGTTGTTCTTTTTTAGACCTAGCCATTTAAAGTTTAGGAAGTTTTAAATTTAGCTTTCATATAAAAATAAAAATAAAATAAAATAATATTTGTGCAGCTTTCTGAGATTTAGTGTGTTTCTGTAGTGTTTCACTCTAACAACACAAACACACAAAATCTCACAAAGCTGTATGTGGAATTTTGTGTGTGTAAAGTATGAAAGTTGGGTTTTTGGGCTTTTTGTGGCTGTGTGAGGTTCCTGCTTGTTGCAGGGGCCATTTTGGGTCTAGCACAGCTGCTTTTACATTGTGGATGAGCCTGTTGTGTTGTGTTGTGTTGTGTGTGTGTGTGTAAAGTGTGAAAGTTGTTTTTTTGGGCTTTTTGTGGCTGTGTGAGGTTCCTGCTTGTTTCAGGGGCCATTTTGGGTCTAGCACAGCTGCTTTTACATTGTGGGTGAGCCAGTTGATGTTTTTTTAATTTTTATTTGGTGTGCGTTGGAAGAGGGGTAGTCTTATACAGCAAGTATAGCCCAAACCCTATATTTTAACAGGAAAATTCGGGGGTCGTCTTATACGCCCAGTCGTCTTATACACCGGAAAATATGGTATCCTTCACCTGTAATAACTAAATCTAATAGGATTCAAGAAGAATAATTACAGAGGAAGACTTTCTGGTGCTGTTTAAAAAACACCAAATATAATTTATCATATATAAAATGAATGCACATGCTAAGCCAAGATGCTCCAT